TCGATAACTCTCTCACATTGATGTATGCTTCACTTGTTCAGGAACTCTCACTGGGGTCATTCAGTTTTATCAAAACAGCCTGATGATGTACATTTTACATTCTCTTCAGAAGCAAGCACAGGACCATGTAGTTTTAATTTGTTAACTTTTTTGCCAGAGCTTTATAAGAGACTACAGGCCCGATGCACGAAATTCGTGCAAGGGGCTCAGCCCTCGCAGCCCCTGCTTCATCCAGAAGGATGTCTGGAAGGACATCCAGAAGGTCATTCAGCTGTTTTGCCTAATTAGCATATTACCCTTTTATTATTATAGATTCCCATCATTGTCAATAATTAATAATACCAGTGATTAATTGAACTAACTAAATCCAGTCCTCTTTAACCTGCCTGACTTTGAAAGCAGTACACTACCCTGGCCCTTCAGGAGGAAGTCCCCACACTAGAGACTTGCAGGCTGAAGCTAAAAACTTCTGTCACCCTTAGCATTGCCCTCACCCTCACCCTTCCTTGCCTCACTCTCTAAGCCTCCCTGATTCTGACTCCAAAACATCTCTAGAATATACCCCTCCATTCCTATTCTTTGGTATATATTTCAGTCTGCTAGGCTTCCATAACAAAGTACTATGGATTGGGTGACTTACACAACAGAAATGACATTTTCAGTTTCAGCAGCTAGAAGTCTGAGACCAAGGTGTCAGCAGAGCTGATTTCTTCTGAGGCCTCTCTCCTTGGCTTGTAGATGACCACCTTCTCCTTGTAGTCTTGTGTGCATGTGTGTGCATGTGTGTGTACTAGTTTTTTCTTCTGAGAACACCAGTCATGTAGGATTAGGGAACACTTGAATGACCTCATTTTAATCTAATTACCTCTGTAAAGACCCTATATCCAAACACAATCACATTCTGAGGAGTGGTGTTAGCGTGGAAGGAGCGAGGAGGAGTTAGAACTTCAACATATAAATTTGGGGGGATGGGTATAATTTGGCCCATAACAGCATGTCATATAAGGATTTTCATGAATTGGCCTTGGACTTACCTCTTCAACTTACTTTAGACAATCTCTTCCATATAAGTAAGCTCCACCTGTACTTGAAGACTTAAAGCTTTCCAAAGATGCCAAGTAGCCTCACGCCATCATGCTTTTGCCAATGCTGTTCCTGTTGCCTGGAATGTCTGGAAGATGGAACCCCCTCCATCTTTACCCTCTCATCCAACTCCTTAGCCTGGTGAACTCCAAGTCACAGGTCCAATGCCATCTCCTCTGCAAAACCTCTGCTAAACTACCTGAGAATTAATCCAGCTCTGTTCCCACAGCCAATATATAATATGGCACGTGAAACCTTGCATTCTCACCTGTCTTTTTGTTAGAATGTGGCAGGCTTGCTTTCACAGTGCTCAGCAAATAGCAGGCACTTAACAAACATTTGTTGAGTGAGTTGAAATTGAAGAGTGCAGGCAGAACTAAATGCAAATTCTGCAAGAATTTCAAAAGAGTTTACTAGTACTATCTACTGGAGTGAAGGGCCTTGGTATTGGAAAAATAACAAAACAAAACAAAGACAGAACATTATTGTGGATCAGCAGTCTTCCTATTTCTCCTCTGCCTCAGGGCACACTGTACTATTACATCTCCCATGCTCCCCTGCCAGAGACTGGGACGTGGGGCTCAGTTGGCCAATGGAGGTCTGACCTCCAAGGCCTCCGGGGGAGTCTCCATTCTCTCCAGACCTGTGGATGTAGAAGGCCAGTGGGCACTGAGGCCCTAGGCAATGGGGGAGCCACTAGGTTGGGAAGGAGCCTGGGTCCCTGCATGGAAGAACACCTGCTAACAGCTAAATGGACTGATGTAAAAGGGAGAAATACGCCTTGCGTTAAGCCACTGAGATTTAGGGGATGTATATTATAGCATTAACTGCCTTGACTAACACCCACCTGAAACACTGGATGTCTTACACCTGAGGTGGGTATATCTTACTGCTCAGTGTCCATCCTGTCCATTTAAATCACAGGGAGCAGCATCAGGATTTTGCCCAATATTTGTGAAACTGATTCAAATGTGCTATTTCTGATGTGGCTATACAGACATTTGGGAAAAGGAATGAAGTTAGGGCAAAATAATCTAACAGTCGCATTCTTCAGGCCCCAAATAATATGAGTTTTCTTAGCTTTTAAAAAAATTAAAACAAAACCTTCCTATTCACCTCCAAGCTATGGCCTTCTCCTCTCCTTTCAGAGTCCACTTAGTTCTTAGCATCTTAGCATCTCCCCACCCCACCCCACCTTCTAATCATAAATTCTCTGGCCTTTCTTCAGTTGTTTTTCTCAACTCTCCTTCATTCCTGACCACTGACTGTTTCCTCTTTGAAATTAATTCTTCTTGAATTCCATGACGCTGTACTCTCTTGATTATCCTCTTACCCAACCTCCTCCCAGTCCTTTCTTCCTCCCCCAGTTCTCCAAATCCATATTCCTCCACAAGGTCACATTCCTGCCCTTCTCCTCTTTCTCACACTTTTTTTTGTTTGTTTGTTTGCGCTGTCACCTTTGGTCTCTTTTTCAAATTGATGTTCTCATTTCAGGAGGGCAGCTCTCTTTTTCATTCTCATCCCATTTTTTTCCTTCTCCCTCGTAACAATCTCATCATCTGTGCAGGTGATACTGGCCTCTTTCTGGCTGCCTTCTAGACTTTTCCACTGGATAGCCTGCAAGTATCTCAAACAGCAGGCACCAACCACCAAACTCACCCCCTAGTCTCTCCGCCTGTTTTCCTTTTCTTAGAATAGCACTGCCATCTTCTCATTCACTGGGTTCAACACCTCAAAGTCACCTGTGATTCCTCTCCCTCTCCCCCACATTCACTCAGTAATCTGGGCCTGCCGGATTGCTTCTGTGCCTTCAATACTTCTAGCCTGGACCATTATTAAAAGCTTATCTCTACATACTTTATCAGTCTGGGTCCAGTCAGAAAAACAGAAACCACACCAGTTGTGTGTTGTTGTTTTTTTAAGAGAAATAAAATAATAGAGGGAATTGGCTAAACAGCAGTTAATATTTTTGAAAATGTAAGGAGGAACACACTGACCTAACACAGAGGTAACTGCAGGAAGCGTCTACCACCTCTGGGGTGGGGAGACAGAAAATAGGTGGAGGAATCCTAGTTTGGATGCCTCAAGGAGAAGTCTCCCAGGGACTAAGTCAGACCTCTGAGGAGAGAGCCCTGCCTGGTTACTGCTGGTGCTTCTAAGGGGTATAATGGGACTGCTTTGGGGAGGGCCGGGGGGGGGGGGTGGGTAAGCTAGACACTGATTTTCAGCTGTCACTGTCAGGGTGAAGGGCCATTTCAGCTGTCACTGTCAGGGTGAAGGGCCATTGTTCAAACAACACTGAGAGGAATAGCCAGCAAGTACAATGGAATAACTCCTTTCTTTCCCTCTTTCTTCCAGTTTACTGTCAGAATTTAATAGAAAGTCAGCTGGCAAGGAGATAGTTTTCAGAATTCTGGCCCCAGAACAGGCAACACAGAGGACAGAAGGGTGAATTTGGTGCATTTTCCTACCACTAACACTAGTTAGTGTCTCTCTCTCTCTCTCTCTCTCTCTCTCTCTCTCTCTCTAGTCTATTTCCCAAAGATTTCTAAATAGCCAGCATTTATTGATCATTTACTATGTGCCTGTTATAATTCTAACCACTTTACATGTATTAACACATTTAATCCTCTTAACAACATTTGGAGGTATATGCTATTAGTATCCACATAATACAAATGAAGATACTGAGGCACGAGGATATTAAGTCATTTGCCCAGAGTACAAGTAGCTTGTAACTAGTAGATCCAGGAGTCAAACCAAGGTGTCAGGAGTCGAACCAAGGTGTCTAACTATAAAACACTGATTCTCATACCTTTTTTTTTTTTAAACTTTCACACTGTGTACTTGAGGGAAAAGCCAAAATAGAATGGTGGAAAGTAAGATTCCTTAATTAAAAATAGTTCTCAAACTACAGCATGTGCGCGTAAGAACCACCGAGGAACTTTGAGAAAATATGGATTCCAGAATTCACTTCTCAGACAGTAATTTGGAAGGTCTGAGATGAGGAATTTAAACTCTGAACACTTGATCCTGGATGCCACACCCCGACCTGTGCCCAGCCTGATTCTGATGTAAACTGTCTATGGACCACAAGTTGAGAAGACTTACCTGGCAGTGGTTGATAAGAGAGGAAGAGAAGCTATAACTTGAAAAAAAAAATCCTTCCATAGGTTCCCATTGCTCTTGGGGTAAAAGGTAAGTTGAGAATCAGTCTTCAAATACAACTCTTGATCACATCATGTCCTGCTTAAAACCCTTCAATTCATTCAACAAGCTAGTCCACAGATTAACTCAAATAGTTATTGAACACGTATGTGTCAGGCAGTATTCTAAGTGACTGGGTCTCTAGAGTGGTCATCCCACTTAGTATCTATGTAACCTTGGAGAAGATACAACTTCTTTAGATTTTCATTTCCTTACCTGCAAAGGCTCTGTAGGAGAAAGAACAAATCTGGTTAGAGTACAAAGCTTGGTGCAGAGTGAGTACGGTAAACAAAATAATGTTCTGTTGTTTATTCAGAGCCTCAGAAGTTACATGAGGATTTTAGCTTTTACCCTAAGAGCAATGGGAACCTATGGAAGGGTTTTCAGCAGGAAACTGACATATCCAAGGGTGTATAATATACAATACCAAGAATTAAAGTCAGTTAGTATTTCCTCCAGGACAAGGGAAATTAGCAATTATAATCACACCAGTCTAATATTTTCAGGTTACTTAGTGAAAATAATAATTCATCTTTAAGACTTCTTATGTTCAATTTTCTAAGTAAGATGGAAAACTAAATTAAATCTTGCTTATTGGTGTTAACAGTGATCTCAACTCATGACTAGAATCATGAATCAGTTTGTTTTATACGTACCTTTCCTCAATTTAAGATTTGAGAAATGTTAAGTGTCAGAAACTACAAAAGAACTACAAAAAATTTTTTTATTAAGTGTGAAAGCAAAACAGTATATCTATTTAAATATTTTTACATATTTATAGATAAAACAAAGACAAATAATTTATCAAAAATTACAAGTTTAAAGAACAGACTATTTTGAAACAGCCAATAAAGTATCTGAAAATAACACATTTTATCCATAATTAGTGAATATTATCCCCCCCAAAAGTAACTTGCATTTGTAAAAAATATAAAAGTTTTGTTTTTTTTTAGATGTCTGCCAAGACTGCTCTTGCTAACTCTAAAAAAAGTATAATGCCTTTATCGACAACTTCTGTTTTCACCAAATGGCTTTAAAAACCACCTGTGTTCCTCTGGGCTTAGGTGAACTCTAAATCTTCACTTTTACACCACAGGGCGTGAACATAAACACAAACAAATCAGAGTGAGAGCTTTGGGCTGCTTTGCTTCATACTGAGCGAAGAACTTTCTCCTTGGCTGGGTGAAAGACCATGGTGTATTGTGACGTCCAATCTACTGCATAGGGCTTCACCAAGCCAAAGCAGCCACACTGAAAGAAATCTGCAAGATTCTGGGTGAACCCAAGGCTGCCAAGAAAGGAAGAGAACATGTCTTACTACATTTCCTGTGTAGCTCTTGACAAACGTTCATTCATTCACACCATAAACATTCACTGAGATTGTACAATGTATAATGTCCTTTGGAGCTCCTACAGGAATCCAGAAGTGAATCAGTTACTGGGTTTATGGGACCTTAAAACAGAAGCCTAGTTCCAGTTCTGGAACTGAATTCCTAATTTCGAGAGTTCCTGGCTTCTGCCCAGCAACCAAATAGCTTCATTTTGGGTCTCCCACTCACTGGAATGGTCACTGCCATCAGTAAGTTTCTTTCTTTCCTTCCCACTGCCCTAATTCACTTGGATTATCTCAAAGCCCAGAAAAAAAAAAACAATCAACAAGATGGGTTTTTTCTAAACCTATATAGCTCTCTAAATGATGCCCATCTCAATTCTTCCCAGTTCACTTTACATCCTGGAGATTGTCTAGTCCTCCAAAACTCTGATATAGTCATAGCCCTTCCTTCCATCTCCATCATGCTCGCCCCACAACTTTCAAGGCTCAGCTGAAAATTCCACCTCTACCACAAAGGCTTCCATACTTTAGTATTTATCCCTCTGGTTAAACCACTAAGAAAGGGACTTTATTAATATCACTGCCAGTCTGAAACAATCATCACCAGCTTAACACCGTTCTCCGCTCTCTATCACTTTAGCCACCTCTTCCCAATAAAGTCATTTTCTTTCCTCTTTAAATACACATCAGAGTCACATCCCAGGCTCTGATTTCCTTGTCTAACAGCCTAACAGTTTCATCTTGTACCACCAATGTGCTTTAAAATAGACTGCTCATGAGATATGCAGTGAGCGCTCAAATCCCTGGAGGACTCTGGGTCACCTCCACAGCATTCCCAGCCTCCAAGATCCCTATACATGTGACAGGGAGATAAGCTTCAAAGCCTGATCCTTCATATCTTAAGATGACGACCTTCCTATACAAACATTCTCATTTTCAACTGAGGACAGGTTTTATACAACCAACACTCTAGGAAGAACATACCCCAACCTCAAAAGCTGGCTTCTCCCTGACACAGGTGGGCACCTTAAACATAGGGCTGAAATAATTACTGGTGATAGAAAGCCAGGTTGAAAATCTTGGCAAAGTTCACAATCTAACGCTTTGTACAGACAGCCTTATGGCTGCCTTTCTCAGCCACATGCTTAATTATCTCACATTGACTTCATGCCAGCAATATGCAACCTTGTGACCATGTGGCTTGACTGCAGAGATTCCCCATCTTGGCAAAACTTCACAGTCAGTTATTATTTGTGCTGAGTCCAATAGACTAAATCCCAAATTCTTACCACCTTGGGGCTCATGACCTTACCACTCATCTCCTGTCACTGAGGCTTCCAAGAAAAAAGAGGGTCAACTCTACCAGATAGCAAGTCAGAGGACAGCAGCATGGCCAAGGGTGGTGACACTGGATTGGGCAACCAATGGCTAGACTAGCATCTTCCTTAGGACTCAGTGGAAAGAATAGATCTCACTTACTTGTATGGTGTCCTCCTGAGGGACAATGGCTGCTTCATATGCCTGCTCTGCTTCAGCAGGCTGGTTCTCTCATGGGAGGTCAGGCCCAGAAAAGCAATCTGAAAAAGGTTGGGAGGTACATGAAAAATACCACATCAGGGCTCCATCACTCTTAGCAGTGCATCATGGGAAACTGGAAAACATGCAATACCACCCCCCCTCCCCAAAAAACAACAACAGTATCACCTACACTTCTAACCAAGGATTAAGGTGAAGGCAAAGATTCAGCAGCTCTAAGTAAACTCTCCTATGTAAATCTAGTAGCTGGGCTTTTTTTTATTGTCTTATTTTATTAACCTTCAGGAAAGCACAGTGTATTGACTTAATGAGAGTCATGAAATAACTGCTTTAGTAATTACTTCAAGCCATGGCTTATGGCCATGTTTAGATTCTCAATAAATTCAGCATGCAACTTTTAGATAAATAAAATAAGGTCCGTATCAATGCAATTATTTCGACTTGCATATTCTTCTTAGTATCTCTTTGAAAATAGCCAAGTGAAAAAGTTAATAATCTTAAGTAAAGAATATTTAAATCCATATATTTGGGGAGAGGTAAGAATTAAGGTAACTTGAAAACTCCCATGTCATTAAAAACACTACTATTGCCCAGCGGGTGTGGCTCAGTAGTTGAGCATCAATCTATGAACCAGGAGGTCACTGTTTGATTCACAGTCAGGGCACATGTCTAGGTTGTGGGCTCAATCCCCGCTGGGGGTGTATGCAGGAGGCAGCCTATCAATGATTCTCTCTCATAATTGGTGTTTCTATCTCTCTTCTTTCCTTTCTGAAATTATTAAAAATATATATTTTCAAAAATACTACTATTTACTGAGTTATCTCATTTAATCCCCCCAAAAAACCCAAACATCAAGTTCCTTATCTTTAAAACAGAGATTATCATCTTCATTAGATTGTTTAAGGGTTTGAGATAATATATTTAAAATACCTAGTGCAGAGGCTTACAGGGGTGAAGCAACTGGTCCAAGGCCCCACAGCTTAGAAAGTGGCAGAACTGGGACTGACACCTCGGTCAGTGTGAGAAAGAGCCCATGGTTCTAACCAGCAGTCGACAGTCTCAGTATGACTGGCCACAGTCAAAACCATAACTCACCAGAGCCCTCAGGAACTGAAAGGCTTCGAATAACTGAGTTGTTTTGTTTATTAAGAAAACTTTGCTCTGAATTCCTATACCTGAAAACTATCCAAAGCATTGAGTCCATTTTCCTGCCTTAGAAAATATACACAAATATATTAACCTTTTTTTGTTTATAAATTTAAGAATATTATAGTCCCACGTACTTGTACTTATTCTAAGAGTCCAGAAAAGGAGGAAGAAAATTAGAATTGATGCCTCAAGTCTTAGGTTCTACATCTAACTCCTCTTGCTGGCCCTATGGCCACAAGCAAGGCATTCAGCATCTTTAGGTTTAGTTTGCTCATCCATATAATGGAGAAGATACTACTTTGGCACAGTCTGCATCTCAAATGTTTGTAAGGAAACAGATGGGAAAGTGCTTTGGAATATGTGAAGCAAGTATAAATATTAGGTATTATAAATGACAGTAATTACTGCTAATAATCGCGGATGCTGATATCCATTCTTAGCGCCCGAGTCTGTAGATATCAGAGGGATAGGAATTTAAGATGAATGTTCAGAAACTTCAGTTCAGTCAGTATTATTAGCTTAATTCCTTTCCTTAGCAATTTTCCCTTTTAAAATTTTATTATTATTATTGTAGAATTGATTCCTTCCCCATAAAAGTGGAATGTATTTTGCTTTCATTGAATAATGCTCTAATTATCTTGAGTCTTACCGTAAATGGCGCAGAGGCACAGACTGATCATGGCTGTCCATTCCATACAGGCAGCCATAACAACGAGAACCAGGTTTTGCTCAGGGGAAGACAGGCAGCAGGGAAGGGATAGAAACGCCATAGAAAGCTGAAGATGACTACTGCCCTGGAACCTGGACTTTCTAATGGCCATGACCTTCTCTGGAAGTGCAATTACCATGTCCACTGGTTAGTGGTGTGTATTTCATTTCTTCTCCACTTCTATCCACTTAAGCACTGCATAATAATGATAACAAACAGGCTTGGAAAAGTGAGGGAGAATAATCGCCTCACACTTGCATGCTTCACGGTTTATACCATGCTTTCACACAACATATATTTTAACTGCATGATGGAAAAAGCCCTTAAATGGGACTGTCAAAAGACCTAAGTTTCCCGTTCAGATTTTCCTACTCATTGGATGACCTTGAACAATTCAATTCACCTCTGTACCTCTGTAAAATAATAGGTTAGATAATTCCTAGGGCCAACACTTAACAATTTATCATTCTAACTTTAAACCCTGCTGTGAGAGGAGACAGGCATTATTATCCCCATTTCACAGACAAGGAAACTGAAATTCAGGAGTCAAATAACATGCCTACACCCACAGAGAACGTGACAGTCACTAGAAACGAAGTCTTCTGATTTGAAATTAAAGTCTTTCTACCCTAATACAGGTTATTGGAAATATTACCCAAAGGCATTATAAGAAGAGAAATAAATACCTGAAAGAGTTGATTTACTAATAAAAATGATGACCATGAGAAATGGAAAGTTGCCAGCAGGAAGATATATAAAACCCAAGGGGAACAAGCCACAATCTGATTGAGGTAGGTCCATAGTCCATCTTCTCTGAATGTTGTGGCACAATGATTTGACCAATCTGTGAATTCACAAAAAGGAACCCATTATTTAAAAATACAATAAATTGCTGATCATTATGCAGGAAGATTAAAAATCACTGAAGTTTTTTTAGGGAAAAAAGAAAGGAAGACATAATGGCCCAGATCAGAACCTGACTTCAAGATTTTATCTTCCAAATGCCAGCTCTTCTAACACAGATGAAAAACGGTACCTCACTGTTAATTATGGCTATGATAACAATGCATTGGTAGTCAGCAGTGAAGAAATTAAACCAAAAAAGGTCCATGAAATCATCATTAAGATCAGCATATTCAGCATAAAATGCACTGGCCAGAGAAGTTAATTGTTCAAGAACTCAGGAATGATTATATCCTATCTAATAAAGAGGGAATACGCTAATTGACCCTCACACTGTTGCAAATATGGCAGCGCCCACAGCCAATAAGGAGGGAATATGCTAATTGCTGCCACACCCTCAAAGATGGTGGCGCCCATAGCCACAAGATGGCCGGCAGGGGAGGACAGCTGTGGAAGATCAGGCCAGCAGGGGAAGGCAGTTTGGCGGGGGGGGGGACCAGGCCTGCAGGGGAGAACAGTTAGGGGCAACCAGGCTGGCAGGGGAGGGTAGTTAGCGGCGACCAGGCTGGCAGGGGAGGGCAGTTGGGGGTGATCGGGCCAGCAGGGGAGCAGTTAGGCATCAATCAGGCTGGCAAGGGAGTGGTTAGGGGGTGATCAGGCTGGCAGACAGAAGTAGTTAGGGGCAATCAGGCAGGCAGGCAGGCAGGTGAGCAGTTGGGAGCCAGCAGTCCCAGATTGTGAGAGGACTGTCAGACTGCCGGTTTAGGCTCGATCCCACAGGGGCTAAATTTCATGCACCAGGCCTCTAGTTTAATAAATATTTGTCTTAGAAAATTCTCTATCTTATCCATGTTATAGCAAGATATGGGCCATCACAGAACTAAATATAAACTCTTATTAAGGGTTCTGATCAACAGGCCATTGTTGTGGGCACAAGAAATCCTGTAAGCACCTAGATACCACTGGAACACAAGCTAAGAGCATGCAGTTTCCGAACATACTTCTGCATTGGCACCGTAATTTATCCTGCAGAGGGAAAAAGGCCAGGTGAGGAAATGCATGAGAAAGATGCCCCAAGAAAAGTACAGAAAGAGAGTAAGATTCCTATGATCACAGCTCAGTTTCTCCCCCAGGAGAATTTATTTATATGCCAATTAAAAGAGGACTTCACTATGGTCTTCAGAAAACTGACCCCTAACCCATATAGCTAAGACAGTAGTGAGGTGAATGTAGGTAGGAAGCAGGAGAAACAAGGGAACAGACCTTTAAGGTTATATAAAGCCAATGACTTTTACAGGCACCATGACTGTTAATAAAGGGCAAACTATTTTTGAAATGAGAAATCTGTAGATTTGTACCCTGAGGTTTCATAAATGCCTCTGACAATTTGATCAGCAGTTTTAGGCAATTTCCCAAAGCAATACTTAAGAGCTCCTGGGACAGGAAGGATATATGAGTCCATGACTTCACTATCAACCGACTGTCCATTTTTGTCCCAAATATCTATATATTTTTTTGTATCATTTAAGTCCCAGCTATCTTTCATGGGTATATGCCAGAAGCATTCTAACAGCAATCATCACAGAGCAATAATCAAGGTAACAAGGCAAATTACACTCTTCAGAGCTTCTCATTGGGACACAGAAAGAAGCATCCCATGCACCTGGTATGACATAAGAGAATGTAATTTCCACCAGCAGGCAGCAAAGACAGCTGAGTAGGAAGAGTATTGACTTTCTTTCAGCTTATGGTCTTCCACTGCTCTCCTCTGGGAATTATTTCGATAACACAGCATGACCTCAAACTGAAGTTTCCATAGAACTGATTTCAGATTTAATATAAAAGATATACTGTAAGTGGCCATGTACATTATCTGATATGCAATATAACACTTTAATATGTACTAACACATTCACTGGCTAATGAGAGGGAACTCCTATTGCGGTTCCAAGTCAATTGTTTTCATCTTTAGATCGCTCGGATACTTAGAATGTTCTTTCTAGCAATAATCTAAGATCTTTCTCCCTGTAACTTGTACAATGCAGACACGTTGTTACTTATTGTCCACCCTGAAAACAGACCTCACAAGATGAAATGGATGGTGCCTGTACAGAGCCAAAAGGAGCTGCAACTGGATCACACAGAGAGGGTGCACAGCAACAGGAGTGTTAATGGTAAACAAAAAAGGTGGGAAGACAGGGAGGACGCATTAGAAAAATGGAGCACTTTTTTTTTTAAGTTCATTTTTCCTGTATGTGAAATGATAAAAGATACAATGTCCTCATTCATTGTAAAAAAAAAAAAAACTGTCAAAATATAAATGGGATAAAAAGTAACCAGATATGTTCAGCTAGTTGTAAGTGAATGTAAAGGTGAGACTGTTCCTAAGAAACAAAACATTATATACAAATTCGTTCAGAGCCAGAGGATACAGACAAAGAGGAGGGAAGAACTAATGCATGTCATAAGAAAACAACTTGGAAAGAATGAATGTAATGGAAAATCACTTCTGTCCTTATCAATACAGTCTTATGCTGGACAGACACACCAAACAAAGGGGACTATTTTTAGTGGAGAGAGAAGGGGGAGAGACAAGAGTGGTGTAAAATCTGGCTCCTTTTCCCTAGGATCAAGTCCAAGGCACAAGTTGGTCCATGGGCCAGCTTAAAAAGGTTTTCCAGGAACATGCTTTAATGTCAGGCCTTCAAAGGGCAGCCCTTTCAACAGAAAGAAGCACTGAAAAAATCTTTTATTTTCTACACCACAGGACATAATCTAAGAAGTTTCAAATTCCAATGCGCAGGATCCCTGATGGCCTTTGGCAAGAACTGAGATCAGGGATCACAATCTTCTGACTATTAGACCCATTTGAGATGGTGACAGTTATATTGAGCCACAAAAGCATTCCCAAGTGATGTCAGGTGGGAAAGGGGCTGGCAAGGTAATTGAAGTCCTCTCCATGCCTATAGCAGGGCAAGAAACAAACCATTTCACATAGATATTAGCAACCTCTAAAAATGAAACCCCAGACCAAACAAAACTTGTAATACTGAATGTTTCTGGAGAGGGGAGCTGGGAGGCTGGGGGACAGTGTAGAAGCAACTATCTTTCAAAAACTAAAAATTTTAACTAAAGAAAACCAGGAGGGCAGGGAGGACTTAGGGAGGGGTGGAGCATGGGATGATAAAGGAAAAAGAAAAAAAGGTAGGAAAAAACTTTCCTAATGTCTTCCTGAATCGTTCCAGATTTTAGCTCAAGCAACAAATTAGTATTTTACTGGCAAAAGACAAAACTTGAGCATAAATATATGCTCAACAGGAGGGGGGATGGAAATAGAAGCTCTAGAGCCAAACTCTCCCAAAGTTTTCACAATAAATACATAACAGAGTCAAAATAAACTACAATAACAAACAAAGTCAAAATAAATCACAAGCACTACAGGTTTTTCCAGTAAGGTAACCTATTCCAAGGTTTGAAAAGCAGTCATGCATTCTTAGGAGCTACCAAAATCCTTCTTGCTACAACTTAAAAGCTATTCTTTGTTGATCACCTTGGAACAGCTGGCTGTCACTCCCTACATGAGATGCCCAGAGATGGCCTTTACACTGCTACTAAAAAGTCATTTTCCTTGCTCAGGAATGCAGAATAAGTGATCTAATATTTTCTTCCAAGTTATTATTTCCAACCTTTCAATGATTGGTACAGTTATAAGTTGTGACCTGAGATTTATCAAGGAAATGAGCTTTGAGTTTTGTTCCAATGTGACAACCTTCCAAGTCCCCCAACCTGTCTTCCTCCAATCTCCCCCTGCCTCCTTTTATCTACTTACCACTCCACTTGCTTTTGTACCTGAGCAGCTGATTTTTCCTCCTTTCACTGGGTGAGAAATCTGCACTTGCCTTAAATAAATTTGTATTTTTTACCACTTTTCTAATTTATCAAGATCATTTTAGAGTAAAATCTTTTCAAAGGTATTGACAACTAACCTCTCGTAGCATTTCCTGCAGCTTCCCAATGCCAAGAATCGTACCAACATCCGTTTAGTTTTTATTAGGGTATAGTTTATAGTCACCTAGCCCAAATGTGATATATAAGAGTTCACAAGGAAAAGTGTATGTAGATGTGGGTACATGAGCTTGCTGTAAGAAAAATTTATACTTACACATGAAAGATTCATATATAATCCAGTTACACACAACGGAAAGGAAAAATAAGAAGAATATGTAATAGCGATGGTTGCCGAAACCTACATAAAAAAGAAAATCAACATATTTAATATTTTCGTACAATTATGTTCCAGACCAAGAGCCTATTAACCACTTCCTGTCCATAGCCTTCACAAAAGTAAAGAAATAAGCTGTTGCTGTGCTTTTAAGTACCATTAAACCAAAACCAAACACTCTAACATGTCATGGTCAATTGTCCATGTTAACTGAACTAATATTTATTCACTACTTAAAAGAGGTTTTTTGTTTTTGTTTTTAATACAACAAAGTTTACTAAACATATACAGCTCTAGGATGGCCTATACCAGTGATGGCGAACCTATGACACGCGTGTCAGAGGTGACACGCGAACTCATTTTTTTGGTTGATTTTTCTTTGTTAAATGGCATTTAAATATATAAAATAAATATCAAAAATATAAATCTTTGTTTTACTGTGGTTGAAAATATCAAAAAATTTCTATATGTGACACGGCACCAGAGTTAAGTTAGGGTTTTTCTAAATGCTGACACGCCGAGCTCAAAAGGTTCGCCATCACTGGCCTATACTGTGCTGGAGGGAGAAGTAGGCAGGAATTGGGGGAAATCATACCCTGTCTCTTCCTTTCTTCCATGTGATAAGCTTATACAGGTATAACTTCTGGACATCAAGGACTGACTTGATCAGGGAACAGAGAAAATGAATCTGAGGAGCAGCACTAAATAGATATGTTGCAAGAGACTGGACATAGCAAAAGAGGGGCAACCTGCAGCCCAATATAGGCTTACTAGTATAGACGCAAAGAGGGGGTGAGGCTGCCATGCAACCAAGCTCCACTCTTCTATGTGCTGCCCTCTGATGTTGGAGATGGGGGCATTTTTTATGCTAATGACACAAAAGTTCCTGAGGTACCATCAATTCCCATCTTCTCCACAGGCAGCAAAGCCCAGCATGAGCAACACCCATTGGAATGAGACCTAGGTTTATTAATGACTAGTTGCATGACTATAGGTACAATATTCAACCTCCTTAATCCAGTGTTCTTACTTCTAATATGGGCATAATATCCTTTTGGGGGGAAGGAGGTAGGGATACTATCTTCTACTTCACAGGCCCAAAGTAATCAGAGGATGATGCATGTGAAAATACCATGTTAAATGCAATCTGATAAAAATATATGGACTCATTACTACTGTCTTCCCACTGCCATTCAAAGCTGCCTGTTATAATGCCAACCATCTCATCTTTAAGGTGGGATGGGTCCATGAAGTTTGGGATCCCAGAAATTATCTCTTACTTGTTCTCTAGGAAAAGTAAAGAGCATCAAAATGCACCAAGGAAACCTGAGTGAGCTGAGGCAGCCTTTTGTTTATCAAGATCATGGAAGCATATCTTCTCCTAAAAACCCATGACCACAGTTCCTCATAATAAACCCCTGGCTTTTACTGTGATGGCTCAGAGGAAACCCAGGGCTGCAGATCAGGAAAACGAATGTTCCTTGGGTGGAAGGCAATCCCAGATCTCCGCCATCTCTGGTTCTAGCTCTTACCTGAGCCTTTAAGAAGGCAGGTGGAGAAGGTGAACAAGAGAGACAAGACACAAACTATGGAAAGAACATGGTATTTGGAGGAGAAAACTGATACTACTAAAATGACTTCAGGCAAATAATTTTTTACCTTTTATATTTTTCAACACTAAAATGGAGGTAATAATACCAACCTCATAGGAGTGGAGTTTGATGATCAAATAGAATACAGTATATGAAAGTGCATTACAAATGCTAAAATTCTATAAAATGATACTAGAGGCCTGGTGCATGAAAATTCATGCACTCAGGAGTTGGGAGGTATACCCTCAGCTTGGCCTGCACCCTCTTGCAGTCCAGGAGCTCTCGCGGGATGTCCACCTGCCAGCTTAGGCTCGTCCCCTGGGGGATTGGGCCTAAGCTGGCAGTCAGTCATCCCTCTGGCAGCCTGGGAGCCCTCAGGGGATGTCCAACTGAAGGCTTAGGCCCACTCCCTGCAGACATCCTTAGCACTGCCACAGAGGCACTGCTGCTGGGCTGGCAGCCATGAGCCGGCTTCTGGCTGAGCAGCACTCCCCCTGTGGAAGCGCACTGACCACCAGGGGGCAGCTCCTGCATTGAGCATCTGCCCCCTGGTGGTCAGTGTGTATCATGGCGACCAATTGTTCCGCAGTTAGAGATGATTCTCTGACAAGCAAGAGCTACAAAATGGATTCCCTTCTACTTTTTCTATGAGTCACACACATAACTAAATATAAGCTTAACTTTATGTGGTAATTGAAAAATTTTCACCTATGCACCGTCCAGTCCACAGGCAGTGTTGGTCGTATCGAGCCACACAGGATTTGCACACAGGGCAATGGAGTGACCTTAGTGGCTTCCTTACCTAAGTGGGCAATTAAGAGAGGACCAAGCAAAAATCAGTCTCTCAAACTGGTAACAAATCACAAACAAAATCTTATTCCTAAATCATAAAGACAGTGGCACAAATCATCCTAAATATCAGACCATCAATTCACAGAAAGGCTCTGGAATGCCTTTGTAATATTTACGACTACATGTCCATTTTGTCAAAGCCATCACTAAAGGGGGCCTGAATTCCAGGGCTACCAGCACTGACTAATGGGATGAGGCAGTACCATACAGCACAGTGGGCACTGGACTGAGGAGAAGGTAAAATGAGGTACATTTCTGGCTCTGCCAATAATTTGGAGAAAGTTAATTCTCCGTTTAGGCTATAATACCTCAACTGCAAAATGAGAAGTTTCACTAAGTGGTTCTTGGGTCACCATGAACCTCTGGCTCCAAGTTAGTTTTAACATATGCTTCGTGGCAGGAAAAAGCAAACAAAACATACAAAGAGATTTTTAATCATAGGCAACGTCAAGAGATCATAAACATCATTCCCTATATGTTCAAGGCAGAAAATTGTCCTGACAGTAATGCAAAATTAGAACCTGGTAGAAACAAAGGTGTAGAAATATACCGCAAAGATTTGATAAATGTTTACATGAGCAATGTAACCAAGAATTTGCTTTTACTATGGGAAAACATTATGAAGAAAAGGCTCACTCACAAGACACGATGTACAAAATGTCCTGAAGTCCAGACAGCCAGTCTCTGCAAGGGTGATGATATTCTGAAAGATATGCAGTTTGACCTTACATTTGCATTTACTAGGGAATGTATAATGCATGGTCATATACCATAATCACAGCTCTCTCCCCAAACTGAGGTAGCTAGCAGAGCAATTTGGAAGATTTGCCAACACATCATTCTGTGCCTGAAATAATGTAATTTTTTTCAAGGCTGCATTTTCAACCACAGCCAATAAATTAGAATGCACAAAAATTATACCCCTTCTCTCCATCAATGGCAATGACCTCCCAGTTATAATCTGTTGGAGAAAAATAAACACAGACACTCCTAAAAAGAAACAAAAACTACCAGCATTCAACAGCAAGAGCTCAGTCTTTGAGGAACACAGGGTTTAGGTAACAAAGATGACTCTCCCCAATTTCTAAACATTCACAGGCAATGGAAGACATGCCATGTCATCTGACAACTTCATATCTTAGTCAATAAGGAGGACCCTCCTGCCCCCCGCCAGCTCCTGCCTACTCCATGCATTAAATGAGGGACTTTAATTATATGATCATAATCTAAGCGTTACTATAAAAAAGCAGACCATATCTGCCAACAGAAATTACATCTGAAAAAGTCTTGGTGAGGTATTACTTTAAAGAAATTAAAAATATATTTTTTTAATTTTCATATAAACAAATGAAAAAGTATGACAGTAGAGAGATATTATTTTGCTGATTCATACATTCCACATTTAATATTATTAGGTGCCAGGCACTAGACAGTCATGACAGAAACCAACATGGCTATGAAGTTCACCCTCCTATTTTAAAATCAGTAACATTACAAAGAAAGTTCACCGTTTTCCTTTCTTCTTCAGAAGCCTTAGTGAAGCCTGGATCCGTTGCCCAAGTCTTATAGAAAAAATAGAGGAAGCCTATTATGCTGAAAATAAAAACAAAATAGAAAGGAGTGCCTGCCAGATGTTAAAGCCAAGTTAAGGAACATATCGGACCTCCCATAATTATGACACAAGCAAATTTCATCGTTGGTGCCTAAGAATCTCTCTTCTCTGCATTCTATCCTCACCTTCCTTTATGTAACACATCCTGCCCCCATAGCTGGCCCCATCCTATGTTCTAATCCTATGGGAATTTGGTCATGGTTGACAAATTAATCCCTCGTCAAATAGTTGAAACCCACATGAAATATTGATAGGAAGAGTTGCAATATATGAAGAGCATCCTGAAGAATGAAAAACATTCAAGATTCAAATAAATTAATCTCTAATGGTATAATGTGGCTCTCCTGAGAGCATCCAGAAAAATATTTTCTGATCATTCTAACCAAATCATTCAAAGAAAAAAGCCACTTGGTTCAGAGATTTCAACTAAAACTATTTTTTTATATATTAAATGCTTGCAAAAATTTCCTACTGCAAAGTTTAATACCTAGTCATAACTGATTTAGGCTGAGTTAATTTAGAAACAAAAGAAACTGCTCTCCCTGCAAAGTGATTATAAGTCAAATATTATTTGGGAAAGGCACATGATATAAACTGAGATAAAAATTGTTTCAAGTATAAATGAACAGTCCTCACTACAAAATCTTTGTATAAAAATTAAAATTTTGCTCCAGTAAAATTTTGTGCAGTAATCAACCAATACGCCAGTAATAAACCAGTGTCCTTGCTCAATTTAAATCATTATTGACACAGTAACTGTATTTGCCTTCCAGGGTGTTGCCAAGATGTCTGGTGCCAAACTTCAGAGTAGAAAAGGTGGCCATAAAATAAGACTCTTAAACACTTGCTGCTCAAATTGTGAGCCATGGACCCACAGCAATGGCTTTACCTGGGAGCTTGTTAGAGGCAAGAACCACAAACCTTACCCCAAAACAGCAGAATCACTCTGCTGTAACTCACAGAAACCAGCACAACCACATCTGGTTCAGGTAGGAAGGAACGAATCTTATTGGTTTAGTTTACTAGTTAATCTGCAGATAGGCCTGGCTTTAAGAAAGAGATAGGGTACAGAAAATTGTGTGAAATTGAATTTTAACAAATATGCTTACTTAGAATTAATTAAGAACACTATTTAAAAGTACACAGGACAGATCTTTTGTTAAAGAATCACATCCTTCTGCTCCCCCCGCCCCAGAAAACCATGATCAACATATATGACACATTCCCAAAAACACACCAATGAATCATATGATGATCCCTCTTATTAAACTAACTGAATTTCTGCTCTGAATAACTTACAACTCCTCTCCCTCTAAGCAAGTGAATTGCACTCTATCTCCTCACATAAAAGCCAAACATTCCTTGCTTCCATGCCCTTGCTTTGTGTGCTTCACTGACCTCAAATGCTCCCCCATCTCCACCACCGCCCCCTTCCCCAAAACCACACTTTTAGCTTGTCCAGGTTCTAAACGCCCTCCAGACCTAACTTACATCCCCTTCCCTTTGTAGGCCATTCCCTACAGAGGCTTCTCCCTCTTATCTGAATCTAAGAATGCTTATTCTATGGTACTTATACCTCAAATTATAGTTATTTATAGACATCTCAACCTTTCCAGTTAGCTTGTGACTCCTGCAGTCAATAAGTTTCTCAACTTGGACTAACTGGACTTTATTTCCTTAAGAATTCTTTAGATACTTCAGCTCTACACTAGAGATCTACCCTACAGAAGCCTATTCCTCATGCTCAGTAAATCATGCTCAGTGAGTGCCCATTCTACACAAGGCACTGGCTTCCAAATGATAGACTTCCCATAAAACACTGTTCCTTACAAAACATAGTTCCTGGTCAAGTTCCTCTGTTTATGCTCCTGACTCCCTTGTCTCTTTTAAAAGAACAGAATTGAAAACAGAACAAACACACTTCAGGTGTGTGCTGACCAGTGCAGAGGACAGTGAGATTGCTGCTGTCCTTTGCTTGGACACTCAAAGCCTCGTAACCCTATTGGAGAATACACTGGCTTCCGTGACAGCGCATCACTACCCACACCAGGCTTTTAGTCAAAGCACCTGGTTCTTGTTCACTTGACCTGAAGCTATGTCATTTTCACATGTGCTTGTACATATTCTCTGAAACCCAGTACAGGACTTCACATGAGTTTATACCTCTTAAACTTAACTCAGCTATAGCCAGAATCTTTCATCTTTAGTCTTTAATCTTACTTCCCAACTCATCAGTATATGATCTTACCTCCTTCACTTGATACTGTCTCATAAAAACCATTAGTTCCTGAGCCAAAATAAACTGATCATCTGAGGAGCTAACCTAGAGCTGCCCTTAAAATTAATTTCAACATGCAGCCTTCTACACAGATTTTATTTAGAAGACTAGTTAATAATAATAATAGGTATTATTTACAGAATTCCAATTACATAATGGGGACCATGGTCAGCAATTTACAAACATCATAGCACAGTAGTCCTTGCAGCCACCCCACTATTATCCCCAATTTATAGAAAAACTAAGACTCAGTGAAATTAAATAACTTGCCCAATGGTACATAATAAGGAAAAGGGCCAAAACTTAAATTCATGCTGATTCCAAAGATGGTCCTCTTTCCACAGTGCCCCAGACCCTCCCCATACGGCAGCTGTAGAAGCAGAAGCCCCCACACAATCCAGACTTGGCACCTGAGACGAAACTAGTTTAAACACTCAGATGGGCCTTTACAGGGTAGCGCTTTAGTTCATACCCATGGCAGTTCAACCAGCATTTACCATTCAGCTTGAAAAACACTGATCCGACAGCGAAGTGTGCCACCTACTGACTGACATTCTCCCACCAGTAACAGGCTCATATGGATGCCTGGATCAAATGGCTTTTTATGCTGAACATGTGAGTAAAATATCCCACCTCGTCAACTCCAACATCTTAACATTCTGTCTGGCTACGGAAATCAGTTCTTCTAATGTAATGGCATCTTTTCAAACAGTGAACAGTTTGAAATTAAACTCAGCTGCATACCAAATTCTGCAATTGAAGTTTTTAAACTACAGTGGAATTACATTGTTGTTAATATTGATTCTATAAACCTGAAATAATTGTATATAGTTACAGTACTTTTTGTGCAAAATTTGAAATAATGTAGTTGCTCACAATTTTAAAAATTCATCAAGAAACACAATTGTAAAACTGTTTACTACAATGCCACATGGGTTAGTAAACAAACAAACAAAATCAGCCATCTCTTCTCAATAGTATGTCAATTACCCTAGAATTTACCAGCCTTGGGATCTCTGTGCTGTTACTTGATGGTTACGTGTAAATTTAATTATTTTTATATCACATAATGATATCATCCAAGCTTTCATTAAATGGTGGTAATAAGGTTAGTGCTTAAAAAGCTGCCCCCAAATCAGTAATTATGAGACAAAGGTTAAATTAATAAAGTCAAATGAACTCCATGGTATGCTGTACCATTCATTTAAAGGAATCTGAAAAATATTAGCAATAATGCTCAGAAATAAGAAGCACCATTAAAGTAGAAACGTGCTATAATGAAAGTAGATGTATACACTCTAAGAGTTCATATGCCTCTCACTTTACAAATGAAAAAATATTCTTAAATTTGAGTGTATGAATCTCTCCCATAAGTACTACTCTTTCTTTTTAAAATGCCATTACCAGAAATAGAAATAACATAGAAGTTAAAGGAATATGCTTAAAGGTACATTTCTATTCACCACCTTCCTTCTTCTCCTACCTGTGAGGAAAACAAGTTTATAATGGGTTTCTAGAATCCTTGGAAGGGAAAAAGGGATTCTGGAAAGAAGTAGGAAGATGGAAAATTGGAGGAAATGCCTCCCTCATACTGGGAGCTATAAATAGCTATAAACTAAGAAGTAATCCCTGTTCCTACTTCTAGGTGACTAGATTTTGGTCAACACTAAAAGCACAGCACACCCCTACGATGGACTTGGTCTGAGCCCTGCTCTTCAAGTGATAAACCTACTTGATAGGTGAGTTTTGTTGTTGTTGTTGTTTGTAAACCATGGGCTGCCATCCATTAGCAGGCCATGAAAGAATTAAGTGGGCTGTGACCAGCATGTTTTTAAAAAAGAAATCTAATAGGATAAAATAAAATTTCAGAGTAAAACACATATTAGGAATACCATTTTCTGAAATGTTTGCTTCACATATGTTTTGGGTAGCAATGTATACTTATTTTTATTGTGGACTAAGAATCACCACCTAGGTTAATAACACTGTATTGACTACTGCTGAGGAGGCCACATTTCCCCCAAATCCTTCCATGTAGGCCACCTTGGTACCCAGAAGATTTATTAATAACTATAACCGCTGACCAAGTTAAAAGATCCATCTGACCTTGAAGAGAAACTCAATGAAATACAATAATATTTTATGGACCCAAATAAAATAATATTTCTTTCTACTGTTTCCTTCCAATGAGTAATAAATACTAGACACCTACTGTTTCCATTGTGTACTCTGAGATTATTTTCAAAGTTGAGTAGATTTTCAACACTAAACATCTTCAACTAAAATCACTAACTGAATACAAATGTGAGTTGCATTCCCTGGATCTTGTCTAACATCTATATTTCTAACAATGGCATTACTATTTTTTAAAGGCAAAAAGAGATAGGCATTTAAATTTAAGCTTGAAGGATATGAGGGAAGAATAAGATGAACCAAGTCACAAATATCCAAAAAATGGAACTTAGCAGAAGGACCGTTGGTAAGTACACAAGGCACTTATACCCAAACAAGAACCTAAAAGAGAAAAAGATAAACAGGAGGTATTAGTGAAAACAAGTATGACTCACATTAATTTTAGTTCTAAATTCCATTAAATAGTAACAGTGATAATAATGATTCCCTTAAATACCAACAACAGCTTTCACTTACTGCTTATCATATGCCACTTTCCACAAGGTAATGAGCTACGCATTAGCATCCACCATTTTACTCATGAGAAAACTGAAGCACAAGGGCTCTCAAGAAGTAAATGTTCTCGTTCTTACAGCTAACTTACACATTACTTCATCCCCAATCACTCTATATTTTCAATGATTCTTTTATTTCTATTGAGACATATCACATTTGTATTTCTTTTGGGGGTGGTCACATCATATGTTCAAATACTCCAAAATGCAAATTTTAAATATTTGGAGATTCACCTTCCCATCTAACAAGCTTTCTTCTAGAGCAGTGGTTCTCAACCTTCCTAATGCCGCGACCCTTTAATACAGTTCCTCATGTTGTGGTGACCCCCAACCATAAAATTATTTTTGTTGCTACTACATAACTGTAATTTTGCTACTGTTATGAATCGTAATGTAAATATCTGATATGCTATATGTGTTTTCCGATGGTCGCAACCCACAGGTTGAGAACCGCTGTTCTAGAGGCTTGCAGGCTATTTCTGAAACATACATCCCTTTCATCCCACAACAGCTTGAGAAGCAGCCACTGGACATAAAAAGATACATAAAGGTTAAAAGTGGCACTAGTCATCAGAACACCAACCATCTCACTTGGATATAACAAGAAGCTTGGAAGTCCACACAAAACTTACTCAAATGTTAATATTGTAGTTTCAAAATAAAAAAATAAATAAATCCGTCTTTCACATTAAATACTCAATATAGTAAATCTAGGCATGAATATCGTTTACCTGGACCTGTTTTTAAATTTATAGCAGGAAAAGACAACAGTTGATGACAGGCATGAAAAGGGTTTTTTAAAAGCTATCAAGATCATTAGGATATTATGATAAAATATTTGAGAACTGAAATCCCAAACCTAATATGCTGCCAGAATAGGCCATATGGAGCCCATGTAACCTCCAGGGCATGACCTGACTGAGATTTTGCAGCAAAAATGTGTTTGAACTAATTAAGTAGTACAGTGAACTATCTCATTTGTAAAAGACTGTTTACTTCTGACAGGCATCACATAGCAGCCTGGATCAATAAGCACCTGCCCCTGGAGCCTAATAATAGTAGAAGTTTGCAGCTGCTTACCTCCACAAAATTAGGCTCTACAGAGGAGTGTGAGAGAAATAAAAGCAGTATGGATAAAGTGGCCATATGCATTTGTCTCCCATTTGAATTGTGTTAATATGTCAAGCCTGACATAGGAAGCCCTCAACTCACTGTTATCAAAAACAAAAGTCTTCATATACTTTTTTATAATTTGGGTTTTTATTAAAATAAACAAAATCTCAAATACCCCCATCCAAGATCAGTAAATACTACCCTTGCTTTCTCTCTGGAAAAACAAAAAAATGATGATTATGATACCTGGTGATTTGGCTTAAATTTTGTTTGGAGACTGAGTCAATCCACTTAGTGAAAAATGAATGACTATTTCTAAGTTATAAGTTTTCTGAATAGTAGACAATTTAGAAACTTCACTATTTTCCAGAAATTTGAACTTTTACTTTATGTTTAAATTCTAATTCATTTCCAGCCAACTGTCCTGCTCTTGAGTGACAGAGAATCTTAAATGGTAAGATTCCTCTAATACTCTGTTTTTTCTTATGACAAAAGTAGCATATGCTTATTCCAGAAAATGCTGGCAGGCATAAGAAGGGCAGAGGAATCTCATAATCACACCCTGAAGAAAGCAACACTATTTACTTTTAGGTCTTTTCCTATGGATCATCATTACAGTTTTCTTTGACTCAGGAGAGGTTTCCTACTTGTATGGGCCTTGCATTCCAGGAAACAGTGGATAAGTGCTATGAAGAAAACAAATGGGGAATCAGGGAAGGCCTCACTAAGGAGGTGGTATTGGAACTTGGGCCTGAATGAGACATCTCCAGCTATGCAATCAGAACATGTCAGACAGGGACCAAGTGAAAGCCAAGGCCCAGGGTGAGAGGAGTTTGATGTGTTCTGAAACCAGAAAGAAGGGTAGAGACAATGAAGGAAGGAGATGAAGTCAGAGGGGAGGAAATGAATCACATAATACCTCCTAGGCAAGGAGTTTTGATTTTATTCTGAGTACAAGGAAAGCCCATGGAGGGCTTTAAGCAGGGAAAAAAGACAGAACCTAATCTGCCTTTTTAAAAGACTAAACTGATTGCTAAGTGGGGATGAGCTGGGGGGAGGCGGGGAGGGTGGGAATAAGAGTTGGAGTCAGGAGGCCCGTTAGGTTTGACCGAGGGTGCCAGTTGTGGAGATGCAGAGAGCAGACCCGATGTAGGCTGAGCAAGAAGGACTTGGTAATGAGCTGGATGTGGGAAGTGAAGAGAAGGGAAGAATTGAGAATGGCATTAATCCAAGGATGATAGCCATTATTCAACGTGAGAAACTGGAAAGGGAAAAAGAGATGAGGGGGTGACAAAATTATTCAGCATTGTGTGTCAGCCATGGTTCTAACCACTGAATGTGTGTTGACCATGAGACAGGCATTGTCAAAATTATTATCCTCATTTTATACACGGAAAAATTGAGGCACAGAAAGGTAAAGCAACTTGTTCAAGGTTGGCCTGCTATATGAATCTAGGCAATCTGACTCTTAACCAATGACTATATGGAACCATCTATAACAATAAATGCGTAATATGCTAATTAGACCGGACATCCTTCCAGGCATCCTTCCTTCTGGACAAAGCTGCAGTGGGCGGGGGCAGAGGCGGCCACTGTGGCAGCAGGGGGCCAAGGCCCTTGCACGAATTTCGTGCATCGGGCCTCTAGTGTATAAATATTTTCCTAAAAATAGAACCACACCATAGTTACTATTTTATAACCTCCTGTAATTTAACTAGGTTGTTTCCACCAAATAACATTAAGAACAAAAATAATTAGTTCAAAATGAATTTAGATTTAGAAAAGGAAAAAGCAAAATTTCTGAAAAATAGGCAAAAATGCTTCAAGATGCAAATTAGTTAAAAAAATCTCCCCATTACTCACCAAAATTACCATTTCAAAAAGTGAGCTAGGATATTTATTTTCAACTAGTTGTCAATTCAATTAAATTATTGTGTTGACCAATTAGCTTTCAGGCCAAACACATGCTACCAAAGCCCTTCCTTCCCAGCAACCCTGAGGATGTTTCTATGTGATAAGTAACAGAGCTCAATAAAAACCTGTAATTTCAGCTAATCAATAATAGAAATAAGCAATCAAATTGGAATGCAATAATCAGCCTTGCAAAGACTAATATACACACCTTGGAAACAAAGATGTCAGAAAAAGCAATGTTATTAGAAGACATCCTTTTAAAAGCCAAGAATCTGAATTGAAGTCCAGTATGTATCCAACAGCCCACATGGTAATCACAGAAAGCATCAGCAGCAGGAAGAGCTATTAAGAGATTCAGAGTTTTAGAACTTTATGGATTTTACCTCCTAAGTATCTAATAATAATTAGTTCATCAGAAGAACTACTTCTTAAACATATAACAAGTAATACAATAGCAGAACACAGAGTTTTCCTTCAAAATTGCTGATTGATAAATCTGATGTTTGAGAAATTACAAATCTTGGAAACAATCTTTCAAAAGCCTTACATTTTATAAAATGTTACTTACACATACTTTGTTTTGCTTTCCTCCCCGTCAAGAAATGGTGGTCGTTTAGAAAAGTGTTCATGATAGCTGACATTTAGAAAAGCAATAATTTCTTTCAAACAATATTATATACCAGAAAGCATAAACCAAGACAAAAAGGCCGCACAAAAATCAATACACCCAAGATTTAATGAGGAGAATATAAGAGTTCCAATCTGGGCACCAGATGGTGCCATTCCCTAATAAAGAGGGTGAGAAGGAACAAGTTTTCAGAAAAGATGAGTTTAGCTTAGCACGTGTGGAATTTTAGATGAATGTGGACACCTAGTGGATATTCAGGAGGCAGTCAGAAAAGCAGGTCTACCACTCAGGAGGAAACCTGGACTCATCAGCATATAGGTGGTAAAGCCATGAATGAACAACATCCCAAGGACTGTGTGCAGGTACAAAGGGGCAGAATCTTGGCCAACACAAACGATTAAGGAGAAAAAGCTAAGTCCTCGGAGGTAACTAAGAAAGAGTGACCAGTGCGATCAGAAATGCAGGATGAGAACCAGGAGAAAGAAAGGTTCCCCAGAAGCCAGGGAAGAGTTTCAAGACTGGAGTCATTCTTGGTGTCAATGTCACACAGAGGCCAGAGACTGAAACATATCCTCGCAAAGTCAGAAGAATAAAAGCCTATGAACCAACAGTGTGACTACCTGCACTGAAGCTGGCACCACATTTTTACAATGCATGACCTTGGAAGCAAATAGAGAAAATACATTCTGCCCTATCTTCTTCAATTTTTACTTCTCTGAGCCATATTCTAAGGATGGATAATTTCAAATGATATCAAATCTTTAAATTTTTTTCAAATTAGATTGCATAACACCAAATGAGCAAATTTAATTTTTAAACAAAAAAAGGTAAACTTAAAATCTACAAGCAATTTAACTTCAGAACAGAAATAAGAATTAAATATGGAACTCAAAATTTTAACTCCAGGTGTAACACTCATAAATGAGCCACACTATTCATTTATTCAACAATTATTCCAGAGCATATACAAGGTGGGGCGAAAGTAGGTTTACAGTTGTTTCTATGGAAAATACAATAATCCTATTTAATAAAAGGGTAATTTGCAAACTGCCCCTAATAGCAGAACCAGTGGGAATGACTGGTCACTATGACACACACTGACCACCAGGGGGCAGACACTCAATGCAGGAGCTGCCCCCTGGTGGTCAGTGCACTCCCACAGGGGGAGCTCTGCTCAGCCACAAGCAGGCTGATGGCTGCCAGCACAGCAGTGGTGGCGGGAGCTTCTCCTGCCTCCTCAGCAGCACTAAGGATGTCCGACTGCAGCTTAGGCCTGCTCCCCGCTGGCAAGTGGACATCCCCCGAGGGCTCCTGGGCTGCCAGAGGGATGTCTGACTGCCAGCTTAGGCCCGATCCCCCGGGGAGCAGGCCTAAGCCAGCAGGTGGACATCCCCCAAGGGGTCCCAGACTGTGAGAGGGCACAGGCCGGGCTAAGGGACCCCCCCGAGTGCACAAATTTTTGTGCACCGGGCCTCTAGTTAATAAATAATACAAAAGTAAACTCTGTGTTTTGTGTATTCACAACTGTAAATCTACTTTTGCCCCACCATGTGTATGTAGGCACTATTCTAAGCACCTCGGATACATCAATGAATTTAAGGTCTTTCTCTCGTGAAGCTTAAATTCTAGCAGGGGAAGACAGACAAATGTACTAAGAGAATTTTATAATACATAAAAAGCTCCAGCCCTTGTAAGGACTTTGGAGCCTTGTAAGGACTTTGGCTTTTATTCTGAGAGAAAGGAAGAAACCTAGGATTCTGAGCAGATAAATGATAGGATCTGACATCATTTTAAAAGATTCATCTGGCTGCTCTGTTAAGAACAGACTTGAGGTGAGCCAGACAACTGCAATAATTTATATGAAAGATAATGGTGGCTGGACCAAAATGCCATTGGTGGAATGGTGAGTAGGCATTAATGAATATAAACTGAGGGCAGAGTAGCCTATACCTCTTTCTAATGGCCTAGATACATGTTATGACTGAGAAAAGACACAGGTGATTGGAAAGCTGGAGTTGCCATGTATAGAGATGTGGAAGGCTATGAATGGAATAGTTAGGGATGGGTGGGGAGAAGATGAGGATTTCAGATTTGGATGTTGTATTGGAGATGCCTATCAGACACTGAACTGGGTAAGTTATACAGGTAACTGGGAGTTAGCAATACTGTATATAGATGGCATTTAAAGCCATGTAAATGCATGAAATCACTAAGGGAATGAATGAATACAAATAAAAAAAGTCCAAGGACAAAGTCCTGGGGCACCCTACTGTATGAGGTGGGGGAAAAGCAAAGGAGTTGGCAAAGGAGACTGAGGAGTAACCATTATTTATTTCTCTCTCCCTCTAATACCTAAATGCAAAATAGGTGTAGTATTCATGATGACCCTCTCCATAGAAATCTGGTGTTAGTTAATTTAGAATCATTCTGAAAGTATAGTTACCTCGCATTTCTGTAGCCACCTCCAAAGTCTGAATTTTTTGTTAGCTCTCATTTTGGCTTCTGTTTTTAGCATGTGAATAATGAGCCGATTTTTACTTTGTAGAGCCATCTCAAGAGGTGTTTCTCCCTAAAAAAAGAAAGAAAAGGTTCAATCACATTTTTTAAAAATATTTTATTGACTTTTTACAGAAAGGAAGTGAGAGGGATAGAGAGTTAGAAACATCGATGAGAGAGAAGCATCGATCAGCTGCCTCCTGCACACCCCCTACTGGGGATGTGCCTGCAACCAAGGTACATGCCCTTGACCGGAATCGAACCTGGGACTCTTCAGTACCCAGGCCGACGCTCTATCCACTGAGCCAAACCAGCTAGGGCTCAATCACATTTTTTATATAGCATGGGTACTAGACTTTTTTTTTTACTGTATGATTCCATTTTTTTAATTGAATTTATTGGGGTGACAATAGTTCACAAAACCATACAGGTTTCAAATGTACAACTCAATTAAAACATCATCAGCACACTGTATCGTGTGCCCCAAGCAAAGTCTCTTTCCATCCCCATTCCCCTGCTCCTTGCCCATCTCCACCTGGTCTCCACCCCACTTTCCCTCTGACTATCACCACCCTGTTGCCTGTGTCTCTGTGTTATATATACATACTTTTTGGCTAATTCCTTCACCTTCTTTTATTCAGTTCCCCCACCCTTCTTCCTCCTAACAGCTATCAGTCTGTCCCATGTATATCCATGCCCCTGTTTCTTTTTATATATATATATACATTTTTATTGATTTCAGAGAAGAAGGGAGAGGGAGAGAGAGAAACATCAACAATGAGAGAGAATCATTGGTTGGCTGCCTCCTGCATGCTCCCCACTGGGAATCGAGCCCACAATCCAGGCATGTGCCCTTGACCAGAACCAAACCTTGGACCCTTCAGTCTGCAGGCTGACACTCTATCCACTGAGCCAAACTGGCTAGGGCCATGCCTCTGTTTCTATTTTGTTCGTCAGTTTATTTTTTTCATTAGATTCCACATATAAGTGAGATCATATGCTATTTGTCTTTCTCTGACTGGCTTGTTTCACTTAGCCTAATAATCTTTAGATCCATCCATGCTGTTGCAAAAGGTAAGAGTTCCTTCTTTCCCATGGCTGCATAGTATTCCATTGTATAAATATACCACAGCTTTTTTACCTATTCATCTACTGATGGGCACTTGGGCTGTTTCCAGATCTTGGCTATTGCAAATAACACTGCAATGAACATAGGGGTACATTTATTCTTTTGAATTAGTGTTTCACATTCTTAGGTTATATTCTCAGAAGTGGGATCTTAAAATATATCCCCAAAAGTGAAATCACTGGGTCAAAAAACAGTTCCATTTTTAATTATTTGAGGAAACTCCCTGTTTTCCACAATGGCTGTACCAGTCTGCATTCCCAACACCAATGCAAGAGGGTTCCCTTTTCTCCACATCCTTGCCAACACTTGTTGTTTGTTGATTTATTGATGATAGCCATTCTGGCAGGTGTGAGGTGATATCTCATTGTGGTTTTAATTTGCATGTCTCTGATGATTAGTAATGTAGAGCATTTTTTTAAAACCTCATCAGATTCATAGACTTAACATATTTGTTCTGAGAGTAGCCAGCTATTATTATTTACATCTATCCTGTAATAACTGAAGTCATATGTAGAGCTTACCTTTATGTTAATTTATCAATCTTCTAACTGAAGATATAATAAACTAAGGGAGATAAATACCTGGTCATACCTTAACATTTCGGATATCCAGGCTAGAACCGGCTTCCAAAAGTTTATCAACTGCAGTAACATTTCCTGCTGCCACTGCCCAGTGAAGTGGGGTGTTTTGGTGTATTTTATCAACCACATTGAGAGAAGGATTAAACTTTAAAAGAAATCCAGTTGGTTCTGGCCTGTTTCAAAACAATAAAATACCAAGGGGTATTAGAGAATGAATGATTTGAGGGGAAAATGTAAATAACCAATCTTTTAAGCTAATATATCAATTAACAAATAAAAATTCTGAAAACTAAGGACCTTCTTTGTGCAGAGTTCTATTGTAGTTGCTAATAGAAGAGATGCACATGCCCCTCAAAAAGATATCTATTGTGTGACTATATAGAAAATATAATTTTCACATCAATACAGTGAAATAACTACTTTTGTTTTTCAAACTTTTACTTTCATGTTGTTATTTTATTAACCTTTTCTTTTAAATTATACATTTAACTTTGGCCAATATAAAATTCTATGTTATTCATCTAATTAAAAATTAAATGTACAATACTATATTTGAGGAGATAAACCAAAAGCTAACTTCACATTTCCCTTCTAACCTATTATTAAATAAAGTTGGGTATAAATAATATTCTAAAATATGTGTTTATCTTAGAAAGTTATGGACTAGAAGGCAGAATTCAATAAATATTGTTTTATCATCAATACCTCCCTGTCCTTCATGACTACTTGAGATTCTTTTAATAAAATAATATTCTACTTAACTTATTCTACCGAGATCTTTAAACACTGTATCTGACTTCAGAGTTATCGGCAAAGATGACAAAAAGCTTTCTAATAAAATCCTACCCCTACCCCACCACTCTATGAATGAAAAGGAAATGACATCAGAACTAACTCACTTCCTAGGAGAAAAGTCTAAAGTAAAATCAAAATCGGAAATTGAGCATAACCTTGGAAATAAACTGACAAAGTGAAAACTAAAGCATATATTTGAGAGAAGAAACACAGAAGATGGACTATATGCTGGTCATTAATCATGTATTTATAAAAGAAATACACAGAAAAACTTAAATATGCAAGTACTTAATGTGAACATATACACTATTTCCATAGGTCAGTTACAATTAATATTTTCTGAGCAGTCATCAATGTTGGAGATCCTCAACATTCATAGTGTTCTGCAAAGCAGATTTATCATCTAGATTTCAAATTATGAGAACATTTAAACTTGTCTTTTTTATGCATATATATATATTTTTATTGTTGACAGTATTACAGATGTCCTGAATTTTCCCCCCATTGCCATTTTTAAAAAATGCAAAATAAGAAAAGTAAGTCATGTTAATAACTATATGCTATCAGGGAAGGGCGGAGGTGGGGAAGAAATCAACCAATGAACTCATATGCATATATGCAAAACCCATAGACAGAGACAGTGGGGGAGAGGGGCTGAAGAGGGCAATGGAGAAAAATAAAAGGGACATATGTAATACTTTCAACAATAAAGATTTATTTAAAAAAATAATAAATATATGCTATGGAATCTCTATCTGTTCTATAAAGAAATTATCCCATATAATAAAAGGCTAATATGCAAATTGTCCCCTCACGAGTTCGACCAACCGGGAGTTCAAACGCTTGCTATGACATGCACTGACCACCAGGGCGTGGCACAGAACAAAGGAAGGCCCCAGCCAGCAGCCGGCAGCCAAGGGAAGGAAGGTCCTGATTGGCCCTGATCGCCGGCCAGGCCTAGGGACCCTACCCGTGCATGAATTTCGTGCACCAGGCCTCTAGTTTTCTTATAGTAGCTTTCAAACTCTTCCCCTAAGCTATCAGAAAAGAGAAAATTATTTCAGTAGTGCTTTTCTAAATATAACTACATAAAAAGTCCATATCACAATCACAGGGTGGAAAATCTTATTTTATTCTTCAGAATGTACTATCATTTCATATAGATTAAGATACTTAAAATTATATACACAAAAAAAGAAATGGTCAGAAGCAAGAATCAGAATGAGGCAATTCAATTAAACTCACCCAAGTACTTTGTGAGCTGATAGCATGAGAGGTGTTTGCCCATTTAAATCTGTCATATTCACACTCTGTTCAAAAAGAAGGGTCAATCAGCTTAACTGTAGATACAGTCAAAATTCTCTTTTTTTTCTTAATAGAGGTATCTCTTCAATGCATTAGCACTACCATTGTGTCTATAAGGAGGGTTCAAGTATCATTTAATAAAAGAATGTTCTGCTTCACAGCCATAGGATAAAAGTTCATTGATTTATAGAAAATATTTTTAAAAGGTATATCTGAATATATGATTCAAAGTGTTATATAATATGAATAGAAGAGAGCTAAGGGAAAGAGAGAAATAATAATCACCATCAAATATGAGAGACTTTAGAAGCAAAGACCCTAGAAGTCATCTAGTTTTAGACCTTAACTGATAGTACATTCACTGGTACTATCATCTTTTATTAAGTCATTTTGAACAATAGATGAATTTATCAAATGTTTTGTAGGCTGAAGGGAGGGCATTTCAGGCAGAGGGAACAGCATGTACAACAATCAGAGATGTGAAACTGCACAGATGTTCAGAGAAATATAAGCAATTTAACACTGAGGAAGGATAAAGCATATGGAAGAAAATGGTAAAATATGAGGATAGAATAGAGAGGCAAAGACTGCCTGGGCCTTCTATGCCATGCTTTGAAGTTCATAATTCATCTATTGTTCAAATTTATCAAATTTATCAAATTTATTCAAATGACTTTATCAAGCCATTCAGTCTCTACTTAAACACATAACAGTAATAGTGAACAACTATCTTCTAAGGCAACTCATTGTATTTTCTTTTATTTATCATATTATGTTTTAAAAGGTAACACATGAAAAATTCTTTTCTATTTTTCTAGAATATAAAAAAAAGAAAAAAGAAATTGTACCTCCTTTTAATAAAATGGGCACAGGTTCGAGGTATACAATAATGGTTCCAACCAAGCCAAAGAAAGAGTTTCAATTATTGAAGATCCTTATGGGCCTTGGAGGAGTACAACATGGGAAGGAACCCAAAGAGAAGCAGGAAGCATTCTTCCTCAAACATATTTCCAAAGTGAGCCCAAGGACGTTATAATTATTCTACTTCAACTGGCTAAGTCTGAGAGAAAGTGTTTATTTACATAGAACACAGTCATTCCACAGCATTTGTGCAAACATATGTCCACGCCTGTTATAGGCGAGTCTGCTAATACATAAACTACTTTGCTAAGAGAAAGCATATCCCAGACAAATATAGCTGACAGTGACACTCCCACTGCCAATAACCTATAATTTAACCTGTGCCATAAATGGATGCCTCTTAAGGCAAGTCATTTTTCATGGAATTACTTTAGAGAACAATAAGAAGCATACATTCAAATTGGTCTCCCATTTATACTCAAACAATGAAAGCAATGATGGGTTAATTCAGTGATCTGATTACCATTTCTACATTCAGCCAGAAGAAAAATATAGGCTTTGAAGTCATGTTTTTTAAAATCTCTGCAAGAATCATAAGGAAAACTATTACTGGCTTACAAGCTTAAAAACATCTATTATATGTTACTGAGCTAAATGACCTGTCCTTTTTGCTCCAATGAAGCTAGAAAGGAATATTCAATAGCTAAACCTACTGAGGCTAATATTTGAATATCTGGATATTTTTTACTTATACTTTAAAAATGAGAACAGACTACTAATCATCTTCTCAATCTCTTCAAATTTATAATAGCTATAGTATAAGATATGTTTCAAGATATACCTGTCCCTTTGAGATGAGATATGCTATAATGGGCATGTGTTGAAATAATACTGCCAAGTGGATGCTGCTGAATCCTTCTCCATCGATGAGGGTGGGGTCTGCACCATACTGCAGTAATAATATGACCATGGGTAAATGTCCTTGTCTGTAAATAAAGAATAAAAAGTATACTGTATTCTGTAGCAAAAAAAAATAAAAATAAAAAATTCAGGGAGAAATTGATATTCCTGAGACATGAGGGATTTTAGTTAGATATAAAAAGTATTTCCTAACAATAAGGTTTTTAAAACTCTGGAGATTCTCTGGATGTCCTTTACTTAGGTGTTCCACACTTAGAACTATCTGGACAGTCCTTCTTGAGGGCAGGTAATAACCTTAATAACCTCCCAATCTACCTTAAACCTTATGTTGCTATCATGTATAAATAATAATGTTACATGACTAATGCTAAAAATGTAAACTTTAAAACCAGTTAGACTTCACTGTTGCTACTTTAAAATAATCATGAGCCAGATACCCTGCAATATAACATTCAGACTGCTGGTATACTGTAATATTATTCTTAGGAACTAGATATTTTTACACCTGAATATGGATCATTTTCCACATGAAGCTTACATGCGGATGAGTTCACCCTAGATTCTTCAAATTTATTGGCTATGGAGAAAAGATCCAATTCCTTGCCTTAAATGAACAATTATTCACTTTAGTTTCAGGTTCATGTCAAACCCATCAACCATACAGAATGGAGTTATGATGAAAAATTAATTGTTAGGTATTTAGACAGGCCTATTAACTTCAGCTTCAGATGGCTAATATTTACCAGAGGAAAAAAAAATTGATTTATAGTTCACTAAACTATCATTTTTAACCATGTAATCAAGTGCAAAATATATGTATTTTGATTACATAAAAGAAAGTATAAGACACACATTTGAGTTTGAGCATCACACTGGAGGCCCAAGTTAAACACAAAAAACATGTCTTTGGAAACTCCTTAAAGCTAAATTTGTTTGTTTGTTTGTTTGTTTGTTTGTTTGTTTAATGAAGGGGGGGAGGAAAGAAAGCCCTTCAAATGGTCTCTAACTGCAGTTTCCAATATGATGGCTAATAGCTACATGAGGCTATTTGATTTCATATTAGTTAAAATTAAATAAAATAAATTTAAAATTAAATTTAAAATTCAATTCCTTAGTTACATTAGCCCCATTTCATATTTCACCTATGGCTAGTGGCTACCATACTGGATAGCACAGAAGAGAATCCCAGAAAATTCTAGTGGAAAATGCTGATCATTAATGTTCAGAAAATAAACTTTGACTTTGAATAGCAATGTCAGTGTACAAAAAAACCTTTACCTGATGGCCCAGTGAAGAGGAGTTGAATTTAAATCTCCACCCAACTGATCTACCACAGCACCTTTTGAAATATAAAACCTGTTAAAAACAGACATAGATAAACAGATTTAAAACTTAAAATTCATATTGAGAAAGAAAACTTTATTCTTAGTAATAAATGTATTGGAAAACAGAAATTATAATAAGAACCCTCCCTAAAACCTCACAGATCAACAGAAGTCTGAAAGATTCACACAACAGCATCAAACAGAACCCTAGTGAAATATTCATAGCATATAAGTAATTACTCCTGGTGTCATGAGCATTCAATTATAACTTACATACTGAGCATGTGATAACTATTCTGCATATTCTAATTACCACAACACTCTTAAAGGTTTATATGTAAAAGGTTCAGGATCACACAGATATGCTACTTAAATTGAAAGAAAAAGTGAAATTATATCACTTTAAACAGCTTAAGATTAGAATTAACTATCTGGGAATGAATTTTAAAAATAGTAAAAAATAATTCAAAATTCTTTTAGAAAAGTTAGACATTTTGAATGTTTTGCTTTCTATTTGGAGGCACTGAATAAGTGAATCTGTAAGGCAAAGAGACGTTCTCTTCTGTGGTTTACAGGAATTAGTCTCATTATCTCAAAGTTGTGCTTCGCATATCATTATCAAACAACGCATCAGTTTATTTTCACAGAAGAGGGGTTTATCTGTATGTGTATTTATTTTAAACTTTAGTATAGTTTTATTTTCTTAAACCTCCAAAATTTAATATATATAATACAAATTACATGTAATTCACATACATACATATATTTTACATGCTAAGGTATAAAATAAAAAATAATGGTTAGGCAGTATTGCTTTACGAAGAGAAAGTATTTTCTACAATCCAATACATGCCTACTTAAAAATGTATTGCACATTTAGCTTTTTAAAAAGGTAAAATTATTCCCCTATTCATCCATTCCTCCTGGCATTATTAAGCAATGTAAAAATATTTCAAGGTTTCTTCTACACTACCTGAAACTTTCTGTTCTATCCGGAGAAAGTTTATCTTACACTTTTTCTTTTAAAAACAATGTTCAATTACATTGCCTGAACTTTATCTTTATAATGGGCCCTGTGGCTTTGTCTTCAGTTTTCCTTTTAAGCCAATGACAACCCTGGACTGGATGATCTCCACGGTCCTTTTCAACGCTCGGATAACTGATGTGTGTGGCACAGTTTCAGGTATTCATTTACAATAAAGGACTATGGATGCTTCAACATTAAAAGTTGCACTTGAAGAAAACACAAATGAAGGAGAGGTCTAGAATTATAAATACACAATTAATACACATATATCCCATCTTACTTTACAAGATCCAGTCTGTTGTTAATAGCAGCCCAATGAAGAAGCGACACATTTTCTTTGTCTGGTTGCCTGACATCATATCCTGCTTCTACCAATTCTTTACATCGTTCAAAAATCCCGTATCTCAAATAAGAAAAAAAAGGACATAATTGATACCATTAAAATAATTTCAAATATCAAAATTTCTTTCTTTTACCAGGTTTCATCCGATCTTTCAGTCAACACAGAAATACATTAACAAAGATACATATCAAGAGGCCATATTGTAAAGCCAAATAACATCCATTTGGAGTTGAACTTGATTTTCTTAAATAAACTTTAACATTCACATTTGCCCTCCTTCAATAAATTTCATTAGATTCTCCACTATATGCCAGGAATGTATGGTGCTGATTCCTGACTACAATCTCATTCTTGAATCAAACCAAACCCATGCAATGACCTCCCAATTAAGGAGAGAGACTAAAACTTGGGATGGGATAAATTCAACAATAAAATGTAAACATAGCATAAGGTATGTATGGCAAAGGAAGAAATCAGACATTCTGAAGGGGATGAACCATGGTTTATGAACTATGTTTTGTAGGCTGAAGGGAGGGCATTTCAGGCAGAGGGAACAGCATGTACAACAATCAGAGATGTGAAACTGCACAGATGTTCAGAGAAATATAAGCAATTTAACACTGAGGAAGGATAAAGCATATGGAAGAGAACGGTAAAATATGATAGAATAGAGAGGCAAAGACTGCCTAGGCCTTCTATGCCATGCTTTGAAGTTCATAATTCACCTATTGTTCAAAGGGAAACTACTGCAAGTTTTAAAGAGGAACGCTCTGAGACTCTTGAGTTTTAAGGAAGATCGCATTAGTGGCAGTATGGAAACTAATTTGCAGAGGGTGAAGCAGAGACTGAAAGACCAGTTTAGAGGCTCTTGCAATAAATACAGGTGAGAGGCAATGAGAGCCTACAGTGAGGGATGGACTTGAGGAATATTTAAGAGAGTTATTTAATTGATTGACTATAAGAATGAGAAACAGGAGAGAAGTATATATTTTAAGACCATAATAACTTTTAAAATAATTCATTAGCAATATTTCTTTTAACAAAAAATATTAAGTCCCAACTGACCACATTTAGCATGATGTAAAATTAAATCATTTCTACCTCACCAAAATGTGTGTGTGTGTCCCTATCTATCTGTCTTTATGGCATTTTTAAGATAGAGGTAACTATCTTACAATGCTAAATGAAAATATTAATAAAAGTAAATCGTTGATGATACATACATTTTTCATCTTTTAAATGTCAACTTTAACATTTTACTGGGGAAAAAAATAGTCCCTTTACATGAGAAACATAAGAGTACACACTAATGAGGATTTTTGTGGTTTAGAAAACACACACACACACACACACACACACACACGCTGGCTTTTGTTTTTTGTGGGGGTTTTTTTGCCTTCCCACATCTATCTAAAGATCTTCCCACAATGACTTAAGAAGGTCTAAGACCTCAAAGGAAAGTTTAGGAATGATATAAAATGTGAGATTTTTTTAAATATATATTTTTTTATTTCAGAGAGTAAGAGCAAGATAGAAACATCAATGATATGAGAAAATCATTGACTGAGGTCGAGCCCGCAACCCAGGCATGTGCCCTGACCAGGAATCAAACGGTGACTTCCTGGATCGTAGGTCGATGTTCAACCACTGAGCCACACTGGCAGGGTTAAAATGTGAGTTTTTAATTTCCTGTGTGCATAGCCTAATTTTTCACATTGATCTTATAGAAATTTACCAGTAGCAGAGAAAATTTAAATGTTTCCATTATAATTAAAGCTAATATTTATCTTAAGAACATTCTCATCTTCATATAAATATAATAATATAAACAATATCAAATAATATTCATGTAAAGTAGTGGTTCCCAGGGCCTCGAGAATTCATATAAACTAATATTTAGAATATCCAAATAACTGTCAATTATTTTTTAACTAACATAAATTATATATTAGTCTATATTAAGGCCAAACAGGCTAATTAATCACCAAACATCCTTGCTTTTGACAACAATTATATCAAGTTAGTGTGGCAACATTAGTTCTTTTCATGCTGATTAGAAGCTCTGATAGTCAGATTTATATTTGATTATTAAGAAAATGTATTAAAAATCAATGTAGCTTGATGGACAAAATATTTCAAAATATATTCAATGGCAAGAGATGGGTGGATGTTAATAATCAATGAGATTCACGAGAACAAAAATGTTGGAAATGATCTTAAGGATCTCCTTTCAAAACATAATTTCATTTTTGGTGCAAGCAAAACAACCCACTATATGTTTCAAGTGGTCAGGAAACCTAATTATACTTTACTGACTTTCTCCTAGCACACAATAGGTACACAGAAAGTACTCAATAAATAAATGTTTAAAATATCCATAAAGGTGTGAGCTGGTATTTTTCCAACCCACCTATATATTTTGGTTGTAGTACATTTTAAAAGACTCGGATTTGTGTTTCAAACTCAGAGTCTAGTTCAGTGATGGCGAACCTTTTGAACTCGGCGTGTCAGCATTTTGAAAAACCCTAACTTAACTCTGGTGCCATGTCACATATAGAAATTTTTTGATATTTGCAACCATAGTAAAACAAAGATTTATATTTTTGATATTTATTTTATATATTTAAATGCCATTTAACAAAGAAAAATCAACCAAAAAAATGAGTTCACGTGTCACCTCTGACACGTGTGTCATAGGTTCGCCATCACTGGTCTAGTTTTAGTGTCACTTAAAATGATTCATTCATTCAAGCCAGAAGACAATAAAAGCATTTACTGGGCACCTAATACAAGGCAGGGACCGTGCAAAAGCATGGGGCTACAAAGATAAAAAAAAAAAAAAAAAACATGCTTTTGCTAAGAAGCTGCTCACAATCTAATGGGACAGACTGGTAATAAACAGCTAAGGTGCACTTCGTTAAGTGGTCTGATGCTGCTATAACAAACATACTAGCAATGGAGTAGGAAGTGAGCTGGGTATACACTGGATGCCATGAACTGCACATACATTATTACACTTGAACAGAACATAAAGGTAAAACAAAGAACTGGGAAGACTTACTGAGTAGCTTTTACAATGTCACAGTTACTAGAGTCCTCTATAAGAGGAAGAGCTTCTCTTGCCTTGGCAAGTTCTTTGTTTTCATGTGCACAGACTCCTTGTCGACCAAATCCTGAAGGGTGGGGGCCATGGCTGTGATTCCTGCACTGGAGAGTAGGAGTAATTTGACAAAGCACAGGAAGAGAATTAATGTCACATTCAATTACATAATGAAGAATTTGCTACTATCACCAATATCGATGTTATTAAATTTTAAATGTTTTGAGTCTTAGAGTTGAATACAAGGGAAGATTTTCATCTTAATTCTCTTCATGAGGATTAGATGCTTAATATTAGAAAATTCCAAATTATATGTATGTTGTGTCATAAGACAAAGCAAAGGCACACAAATAGATCTTAATACTTATAGTAGGTGGAAGGTCATGGCTACTGACATTCAAATAGGAAGGTCGCCATGCCTGTTTTGGGAGTTGTGGCAGATACACACTAAAGAGATCCCTAATGAATCAAGTTCTTGAACGTGTATAGCTTGAGTCCCACAAGAAGAGGGAGAGATATTTTTAAATATTTGACTAAACAATAGCCAAAAATCTGCCAAATTCAGTGAAAAATTACAAACCCACAGCTCCTAGAAGCTCAAAAACAAAAACAAAAAACAAGCAGAATAAACCTCAAATTCTCATACCAAGGTATATCATAATCAAATCACTAAATAAATAAAGACATAACCTTAAGAGCAACCTAAGGGAAAAGACACATTATGTTCAAAAACAAAGATAAGAATGAATTCAGACTTCTCATCAGTAAGTGCAAGCCAGAAGACAAAAAAAAAAGCACAATAGTTTTGAAGAGCTGAAGGAAAATACTGTAAACCTGGAAACACCAGCAAAAATATTCTGCAAAAACAGGGATGAAATATACACTTTTTCAGACAAAAGTTAAGAAAATTGCCATTTTTTAACTGAGCTATTTGTTTTCTTAAAGTTTTGAGAGTTCTTTATATTATATATTCTAGACAAAAGTCCTCTGTTAGATATGTGATTTGCAAATATTCCAATCTTACATTACCAGAGATACTATTATTTAATTTGGGGTATCCCTTGTCATTGTGTATACAGGCAGTCCTCGGGTTACGTATGTCGTTTCGTGGTTACGTCACCATCTCCCATTTATTTATAAAAAAAGAAAAGTTCCGTCATTTCGACATATGTACATATATGCTTTATGTTTTTTATTATTTATTTACCACAAGTAAAGGTCAGGAATTGTTATCTTTCTTTTAAATTTTTTTTACTGTTTCACTTCATTACTGCTGTGTATGTGTTCCATGTGAGTGACGTAGGTGCTTATGTAGGTGGGTTCAGACTTATGGAGAAAATCACCTTACGTCGCACCGTAGGAACAGATCTCCGACATAACCTGAGGACCTACTGTATACTCTAACATATCTAACATTATACAGTATATATACATATATGCTTTTATCATTTTCTTCTTAATATTTATTTTTTTAAAACAATGGGATCACATTCATCAACTTGCTTGTCTCACTTAACCATGTACCATGTATAGCTCTGCTGGTCAGTAATAGTTGAATATTATTCAATTGTATAGATCTAGCATCATTTATTCAACCACTTCCCTATTGTTAGTTCTGTAGGTTGATTTCAGTCTTCACTTCTACAAATAATCCTATAATTAACATCCAGTACATTCTTGCCAATCTGATGGCTAAAATATGACACCTTGTTTTTCATTTGTGTGCCCCTCATAGCTAATAGGAGTTTTGGTAGTTTGTTTTGTTTGTTATGTTGACTAGCTCTCATAATTTCTCTTAGGTGGACTGCCTTTTCACAGTCTACTGTTTTTCTAGTAGATTGTGTATCTTTTTCCATTTGTATGTTAGAAAGATTAACCTTTTGTTTATATACAGATTTTTCATCACAGAAAATTGACTCATTCTAAAGATACAAATTTGTTTCCTCTAATAATTGTCTTAAGGCATTAAGGACATCAGCTTCATTTTTCATGTAGGAACTTAGGGAGGATTATACATGTCAATGTAAAGAACATGGGCAATTAAGAGCATTTATTTACTTATTCAATAATTAATTATTGTGTACTTATGATGTACATGGCCCCCACCCTATGAGGAATTTAAGTCTAATAGTGCAGGTAAATCAGAGACATATGGAAGGAAATATGTGATTAAATGGCAAAAATGGGTGATAAAGACTAGAGAACAGGAGGTGCCTTCTGTTCATGTCAGCATTTTTTTTGGGGGGGAGGGGGGAGGGACCCTAAATCCAGATCAGAGTAAAACCTATAAATGATTATATAAACTCAAAGCCTGCTTTCAGTCAATGGTCTCCGAAGTGAGGCAAGTTTACACAAGTTTACACAAGTTTACACAGTGTATATGCACTGACCCATTAGATAATGGGAAAAATGTTAAAGCTTCTATTCTATTACAATGCCTTTGATCTTTATTTTTAAGAGAAAGCTGCAAAGTTTTATAAATTTGGCCTCTTTAAGCTTTACTGATTTGAGCACTAAGTTGCCCTCCCAAAATGAGCAAGTGAGTTAAACTATAAAGAGGCCATGAATTAAGATAATAACAGCATAAGTACACACAAACAAGAGTACGGCAGAGCTGACACTTCTCTTCAGAGCAGGTAATCTTCATTAGTCACACAAAGTAAAAACAAAGACAATCTAAACAAAATGCCAGCTTCCCTCCAAAAATATTCAAAATTACCAAAAAGGGTGATTTGAAGCAAATTTATATTTACTATCTTTAATTCAAAACCTTACCATGTGTATATGTTGACCTATTAATGAATGAATATAGTTTAGAAATATATTGTCAAATCTTACAATAACATGCTCCATGACAATATGAATTTGGTGACTGACCCGTCCCAAGCCCCCATGTACATCAAATAGAGGGGTGCTGAACTGTTTAAGTCCCAGACAACCATATAACAGAAAATCATTCCCATCAGTGCATAGGGGTTAGAGTTATCCATTGCCAACAAGTGATGATAAATTGCAGTCAGTGCCTGGATGATCTGTACTGTGCAGCTGGATCCCTGAGCTCCCAGCCAGCTTGCAGTGCAGGCTCCATTCATCACTCCATTCAGCTCAAAATTAGTGATATTTTACAAAAATGAAAATTTTGGATCCTACTTTTCACAATATAATAGTGCTTTATTCTAGGGGTGCAAGTTCAAAATTGTTTTACTGATAGGAGTGCATGATCAAAAAAGTTTAGAGACGACAGCTCTAAGTTATCTCCTTTGCTCTAGATTCGCTCCTTCCCAAAATTTTCCACAAGAGTTACAGGTGAAAAAGGAGAGGACCTGCTTTGGGGGAGGTTAACTAACTAGAGACAGTCCCATAAAGATGTTTAAGGAAAACAACCATATATTCCCATCACAAAGATTAAAGCAGTTTATGTCATGATAGGAAATCCTTCTTAGAGATTATTCTCTAGTTATCAAAAAATTATTTTTATGGTATTTTCTAGTTGTTTCATTTTTACTACATTGAAATGTAAACTCCTTGAGAACAAGGTCAAAGTCTCAGATTTCATGTTGGCTATATGATGGTGGCTAATTACCCCATTTTTGGCTTCAGCTTCTACATTTGTAAAATGGAAGGAGCAGGTCATATAGCTATGAAGTTCCTTCCAACTCCATGTTGTATGGTAAGAGGAACTGTTACAAGAGTCATTCATGACATGTGCACTGGTAAAGACTTCACCACACAAACAAACATCCTTTTGCAGTGGAAGCTTAACTGCTTCATGGCTACCTACAATATTAAGGTAACAGAATAGATGAAGCAAATTCTCAGGAAGCCAGCAAATCCCTGAGTTTTCCTTAATCATTCATTCAGGGAAATGTAAAGAACACCTACTACCTACCAATCACAGTACTAAGTAACTAAGTAACTAGGTAATCGAGTAAGACACAATTCCTACTACAATCCATTCATTCATTCATCAGATATTAACTGAATGCCTACTATGTGCCAGGTACTGTTCTAGACACAGGATATGGCAGTGAACACAACAGACAAGATTTACAAAAAGAAGGGGTGGGATACCAAGAAAGAGACATGTAGCTAGCTGACTACTCTCCTTCACGGGGATAACAAGATATTATGAAAATCACATCTGTGGTGATTTTTATAGCAAAGCCCCCAACTTCTTTGATACTTCTCCATCAAGAGGAGAGGGTCCATGTCCTTCCTCACAGAGGAAGCTCAGTGACACTCCACTACTAAATTCTGCAGAAGTGATTCCCAGGCCTTAGAAACTGGCAGCTTCCTCCTTCTGTCTCCTGAGATGCTCACTCTTGGAACCCAGCCACCATGCTGTGCAGAGGCCCAGCCACATGTAGGTGACCCTGCTGAAAGTCAGCATCAACTGCCAGACGTGTGAGTGAAGACAACACCGGTCCTAGGTGCTGAGTCATCCCAGTTGACGAGTCTTTCTAGCAGAGGCCCCACATATGGTGCAGCAGAAACAAACCATTCCTGACATGTCCAAATTCCTGACACAGAGTCCATGAGCATGGCAATAGGTGGTTTACACCACTATGGTTTAGCCCAGCCGTGGGCAAACTACGGCCCGCGGGCCAGATCCAGCCAGTTTGAAATGAATAAAACTAAAAAAAAAAAAAGACCGTACCCTTTTATGTAATGATGTTTACTTTGAATTTATATTAGTTCACACAAACACTCCATCCATGCTTTTGTTCCGGCCCTCCGGTCCAGTTTAAGAACCCATTGTGGCCCTCGAGTCAAAAAGTTTGCCCACCCCTGGTTTAGGGTGACTTGTTACACAGCAATAGGTCACAGGAACATCTTTAAGATATAAGGGATCATATGATATTTCCATGAGATATCACAAATCAAATCATTTTACTAAATAGTAAATAAATACATTTAAAGTTACAATGACATTAATTTTAGAGAAACCCCAAATCTACAAAACCGTATGCAAACTCTGATGAGGGTCACTGTTCTGCAAGATTATCAAATAAAACAAAAAGAGAGATCTGACTGATAACCTTTAAAATTTCTTAAGACATTAACAGGAGTACCAGAGTTCCATTGGACAATTATTTACAGAGTACCCACTAGTGCTAGGCACACAGCAGTGAACACAACAGATAAACATCTCTGCCCTCAAAGCCCTTAATTCAGTGGAGGGAAAGAGACAACAAACAAGACAAGTATGTTAAATGGTATTAAATGCTGAGAAGAGATAAAAGCAAGGAAGGAGACTAGGGAATGTTGCTGGTAGTGGTGATACTGGGGAGGGCTTGCCACACGGAGGTGACATTTGTGTCAAGACCTTAATGAGGTGTGGAAATAAGCCATGTGGGTATGAGGAAAGAGTATTCCAGATAGAGCAAATAGTAAGTACCAAGGCCTTGAGGCCAGTATGGCCGGGGTTAATTGAGCAAGCAAGAAAGTAATAGAAAATGAGGTCAGAGAGGAAACTGGGAGCCAGATGGCACAGGCCTAGCTTGGAGATACTGGGGGTTCAGTTCCAGACCCCTGCAATAAAGTGAGTATCTCAATAAAGCGAGTCACACACATTTTTTGGTTTCCCAGTACCTATAAAAGTTATGTTCACACTATAGTGTAGTCTATTAAGTGTGCAATGGCATTACGTCTACAAAAACCATGTGCATACCTTAATTTAAAAATTCCTTATTGCTAACAAATGCTAACCACCATCTGAGCCTTCAACGGGTCGTAATCTTTTTGCTGGTGAAGGGTCTTACCTTCAATTTGTAAAAAAGCAGTATCTGCGAAGCACAACGAAGGGAAGCGCAATAAAACAAGGTATGCAAATTGTTTTGGCAAATTCTGCCCCAAAAAAACATCAGTTCTCAAGGTGGAACCAGAACCAAATTCAACCAGAGCAGGAGTGTTTTTGTCTGTACTGTTCTGATTTATCTCCTGCACCTGTAACAGTACCTAACTCCCAGTAGAACAAATGAAGTCTTGGCTCTGTTACTTAGCGGCTATCAGACTTTTCACAGATGACGTCCATATTTTAAGCCTCAGGCCTAATCTCTAAAACTAGAATCATGATCCCTCCCCACCTCACAGCGTCACAGTGAAGGTCAAGAATGGGAGAATATTTTGCAAACTTTAAATACCATATGTAGGTAAGATCTTTACACAACTATGGAAACACTTAGTAGCAATTATTATTAACAACAATGATATCTCTACCTTGCCCCATTAATTTCAACCTCTGAATCACTCTCTCCCTCCATCTCTCACGGAACTGGGGCAGGGCTGCCTTCCCTTCAGCAAGAGGGAGTGGACTTGTAGCCCTTTAAAGCTTTTGTAAATGAGTGGCAGTAATTAAGATATGATGGTTACTCCTGTCACCTTTTCCTTGAAACTCGGGCGGGGAAAGGGGTGGGGGGATAGTTCCCATGTGAAAACTCTACACTCTTTTGGAAAATCCAGCCTGCGTACGAACCTTTTTTATTTTTGCCTGTCAAAATCCAAGAACACCTACTCAGAACGCCTTGACACTCCCCCCATGTCTTATTTATTCCTCACGTAAAGCTACATCAGACTGTTGGAAGAAGGAAGGGGCAGGGGGAGCATGAGAAACGCTCTCTAGATTGGGCTTCTTTGAGAGGCCAAGTAATCCAATCATCCAACACTGCTTGAGCCCTGCTGGCAACAGAAAATCCACTGCCTAACTCACTCCAACCGGAGACAGCGTCAGTGTTCTCATCTGTATCTAGAGATTGCCATCTTCTCAAGGATGCGTCCATTCTGGAATAAAATAATGCATTTAAAGGCACTTGGCACATGCTAAACACTCACTCAAAGTTGGCTGAATCTGGGTATGCTTCATTTGTTCAACATATTGTGACCAGCTACAATATGCATTGGGAAAGGGCCATTTTTTTCAAAAAAAAAGAACAAAAAAATCTTGTTCTCTTGGAGCGAACGTGTACCTCCTGTAACGCCCCCCAGCGGCCCGTTCTGTTCTCTGGAACTACATCTGGCTGCTGTAATACCTCCACATTAGAGAGTCCTTTGGGTTCTGCAGGCAGCTATCCCCGCACCTCCCTTTCCAGCCCCCTTCTCTAGTCTAAACGAGCAGCCCGGCCTCTTCCAAGGAGTAAGCAGGGGTGTGGGAACCAGAGCTGCAGCAGGGCTGGGTGGTGCGAAGGCGGGTGCCCCGGCGCCTCAGCCAGAAGGAAAATCAAGAGAACCGCAATGACTCCGGCCCAAGGTCAAGACCGACGGGTCCAACTCAGGTGTGTCACCTGACACCTCTCCCAGGAACAGCCACCCTCCCCTCCCAGGCCCCACAGCGGCCCCGGCCAGGCACCGGGGGAGTACCGGTCCCCGGGGGTGCTGTGGCCCGAGCGAGAAGGCTGGAGGCTTGGCGAAGGCACTCAATCCTCTGTCCAGGCCTCCTCCTCCGGGTCTCCTCAGAGAAACGCCAGCATCGTTCTCGGGGTTTCCAGGCCCCGTGGGGAGCTTCCTCAACCCACGCCCTCGCCCCGCCGCAGCCGCCGCTCCAGGCCCCCGGGTCAGCCATCCCGGGCCGCACTCACCTGCGAGGCTAGGCCCGGCCCCTCCATCGCCCATCGCCCCAGTGACTGTAGGGACGCCGCGAAGTGGCGGATGCAACCCGCTGGCCAGCGCGCCGCGAGCCTCCCGTATCCCACTTCCTGCTCGCGGCCCCGCCTCCGCCGCAGCCCCCGCTCACGCCTGTACCCGTCAGTCGGCCTCGGGAAAGCCAATCCCTGCTCTCCTCTCGCCTGGGGGCGGGACTTTCCTGCCACCGGGAAGGCGAGTGGGGAACCGGGAGCTGGAGGCCCCGCCCCCAGTCCGCGGTGAAGTTCCAGCCCCAGGTCAAGACCGCATTCGGAACTTGAATCCCAGCTCCTGCACAGCCTGAGTCCCCGCCCCGCCTGCCCCGTCCGGTAAAGACCGCTGCCCCCGTCCCCCGCCAATGTCTGAATCTAGTAAGGAATCAACAAATGTTAACTGAAAACATTTGCCACTCTCTACTTCTGCGATCTTCGGCAAGTCGCTCCCACCATCTGGGGTTCTGTTTTCTTCATACAACACAGAAAATAGATGAGTTCCACAGCTCAGGCTACAGGAGGATTGGGCAAGAGGCCCCCACCTGCACTCCCCACGCCTCTTTAATGTCTGCACTGAAGGAGCTGGCATCTAAGATCTGTTCAGCTCAAAGGACAGCTATGAAGATATGCTAAGCCTTGGTCCCTGACCTTGGGGAGCTCCAGTGGTGCAGTGGGTCTCTCGCACTCAGTCCCCAGAAAACCGGAGCTTTTCTAGCCCGGCACTAACACAATCTTTGTCATTATTCTTTCAAATATCTGTTGCTAGGCTAAACTAGATTAAGACCTTTAGGAGTTAAATTGGGGAAAAACTGAATGTATTATGATTCTTTTATTCTATAAAAGCAATACTAAAGCATTATATAAATGTCTAGAAATCGAACAAAGTGCTGGTTTTTCCCATGATAAATACTATAATAAATAAAATTGTTGAAATGTGTTGTTGTTTTTATTGTAACACTCCTGCCTATTGGGCACACCAACCATGAGTTGTCCCAAAAGCCCATCATCAGGCCCTTTTAGGGTGGGAACCATTGGTACCCATCTCTGAATTCCCAGGGCCCATCACAGCCCAGGGATATGGAAAATGCTCAGTATAATTTTATTGAGTGGAGGAGCACATGGATAGGTGTGTCATCAACTTCTATGATACAAGGAAGGACAAATTGAGTGACGAATGGAAGTGCAGGCAACTTCTGGAAGAGCCAGAGGAGCAAGCAATTAATTTGGTCAAGCTAGGATAGGGCAAGGCTGCACAGAGGAGAGAGTCTTTAGTATGGCCACTTTGCTTAGCTAATAAGAACACTGTTTATTGATCACTTCCTATGCATTGGCACCCATGACAGTGTTTTCACATACATTATGTCTAATCTGTAAGATGAGTGTTATTTTTCCCATCTCCCAGAAGAAAACAACTGAGGTTCAGACTGATATCATAAACCCCCAAGTCACTCAGCTGATAAACGGTGAGAGAAGATTCAAACCCAGTTCATATATATATATATATATATATATATATATATATATGATTTCTTACAGAGAGGAAGGGAGAGGAATAGAGAGTTAGAAACATCAATGAGAGAGAAACATTGATCAGCTGCCTCCTGCACACTCCCTACTGGGGATGTGCCCACAACCAAGGTACATGCCCTTGACCAGAATTGAACCTGGGACCCTTGAGTCCCCAGGCCGACGCTCTATCCACTGAGCCAAACCGGTTAGTGCCAAACCCAGTTTTCTTAATGCAAAGTGCTTTGACTAAAGTGGTTTGGTTATTTCATTTTCAAGGACTGAATTAGAAGATGTTTTTGAACTTGAGGGAGGCTTGATATCTGCTATTTCAATGCTTGCGCATTAATATCCTAACACATCAGAAGGTTCTGGGACAAGTAAGTCCTAACACTTCCCTCTGCTTCTTTTATGCCTCCACTGAACTACTTCAGATTGGGATAAGGTTATGCATAACTAATGGCTATATGAAATCAAACCTAGTGAGGCCTGAAGTGCCATCATTACCTTTCATCTTTGAAAATGCCTTTGGCTTGTAGACATACCACAGTAGAATAGCATGATACATGGAAGCATGTTCCTGGAGAAGACTGCATGAGCCTGAATCCCAGCTCCAGCACAGAGTATCTGTATGCTCTTGAGCAAGTTGCTCAATTTCTTTGTGCTTCCGTTTCTCATCTGTACTCAGAAGGGTTCCTAATATATGATAGGCACTATACTATATGGGTTAGCTCTTACCATCATCGCCAGTGTTCCCAACATGAGTGGATGTGGGGGAGAGCACTGAGTGGACCAGCCAAGTGGTGTCATGCAAAGAGTTTAAGATAGTCAGCAGACCTGTCTTCTTGTCCTAACTTTGCCTTCACTTAACTTTGCCATAACAAAGTACCACAGACTGGGTGGCTCACAACAGAAATTTATTTTCTCACAATTCTGGAATCTAGAAGTCCAAGGTCATGTCTCCACAGGGTGGTTTCTTCTGGGGCCTCTTTCCTTGGCTTGTAGATGTCCATCTTTTCTCTGTGTCTTCACATGGTCTTCCTTTTGTGCATGGTATCTGTGTCCTAATCTCTTCTTATAAAACCACTAGAGGCCTGGTGCAAGAAATTCATGAACAGGTAGTGTCCCTACACCTGGCCAGTGATCAGGGCCAATCGGGGCCTTCCTTACAACTGCTGGCCGGGGCCTTCCTTCGTTCCTTCTTGCCCCCTGGTGGTCAACACATGTCATAGTGAGCGATTGAACTCCTGGTCTCCCAGTCGAACTCCCAAGGGGACGTTTTGCATTATGTGTGCGTGTGTGTGTGTGTGTGTGCGTGTGTGTGTGTGTGCTATATGTACATATACACGCGCACACGCACATACATATACACTGGAGGCCCAGTGCAGGAATTCATGCACATTGAAAGGAAATTAATTAGAAGAAATATTTTAGAGGCCATTAGGGGCCATGGGAGGTTGGCTCCAGGGCGTGCCCAGCCCATCTTGCCCAGTCCCTGTCAGCCAGACCCCAGCAGCAAGCTAACCTACTGGTCAGATTGTCTGCCCCCTGGTGTTCAGTGTGCATCATAGTAACTGGTCGAGCAATCCACCAAACAGTCGGACACTTAGCATACTAGACTTTTATATATATATAGAAGATAAATCATAATGGATTAGGCTCCTCCCATAAGACCTCATTTTAACTTACCTCTTTAAAGAGCCTACTTCCAAATATAGTCATATTCTGAGGTACTGGGTGTTAAGGTTTCAACATATGACTTTGGGAGTGCAAAATTTAGGCCATAACACTGTGTTATCCTGGGCAAATCACTTTCCCTCTCTGTGACAGTTTCCTTATGGGGCTGAGAGTAGCAGCAAAAACACTAATCTGGAATGTCCCGCTCAGCTTCCATCATGTAATTTCCCCAGCAGAGACTAAGCTCTACCTCTCCAATCCCCATAGCACTATTTTTTTTTAAAAAAATCTCTTTTCAATGACATGATTTTCCTAATTCTGCAAATGTATAGTATTGAGTTCCTACTATGTACCAAACACCATTCAGCACTGGGGATTTAATACTGAGCAAGACAAAAACACCTATTCCCTGGCTTCCTGGTGCTTACTGTCCAGCAGCAAATGACATACTTTAGTCAAACAGGCTCACAAATACCGACCTCTTCGAGTCAGCCTTGTCTTCTTGGGTAGGTCTTCTTTCCTCTACTTGGCCATGGGCTCCTGGTGCACATCCATCTCGAGGTCTCTCACCATGCTTTGCACAAGATCTGGCATGTGCTAAAGCCTATAAGAAGTGCTGTCCAAACAAATGAACAAATGAAGGAATACAGCTAAAGCAATGGTTTACAAAAGGACATCTAAGGCAGTTCAGCTCCCTAAATCACTCTAAGAAGTACTGACTTCACAGTGCTTCACAATCCTTGGCTTTGAAAAAATATTCCACATTAGGTTTTCTAATCCTTACTGTCACACTATGGATGGCAACTGACTGTGTTTTTTTACTGAACTTTTGATTCTGGCCTTGTTTCTTCCACGACCCTGGAAAGGACAGGGGCATTGTTTTTGAAACAGGGGCTTTGGTTATAATTATTTCAACACTGGAATCAAAATGAGCATTTGAAATGTTAAAAAAACACACACACACGCACACCACACATCTGTCAGCACAAAGCTTCTCACAGATACCAGTTAGGAAACCCCCCTGCTCTCTGGTACCAAGCTAGCAGGGCTGGGGTGGGGATGAGTGCTCGCTGGGAACACTTCAGGCAACAAATATTTATTGAGCTCCTAGTACGTGCCAAGCACAGGCTAAAACATGTAAGTACAGTCTCTATTCTTCTGCAGTTTCTGCATTTCAAGTCTTTTGGGGAGGCAAATACTGATAGAGGTAGGGGTGTGTGTGTGTGTGTGTGTGTGTGTGTGTGTGTGTGTGTGTGTGTTTAAAGAACTAGAGACAATGATAAGTGCTAACAAGAAAAAGTACCAAGAATATAACACAGGGACCACATTAACCTGGGGGGATAAGGTAGGGTAGAGGCCCTTTTCATAACTTATAACACTAGCTCAAAGGACTTTTCCAATTTCCTCTTTTATAAATGGGAAAACAGGCTCCAGGAGGGAAGTGACTTGTCCAAGATCACTCTGTAAATTAGTGGTGCAGATAGGATTAGGACACCAGCCCTCAAGCAGCTTCAGATTTCTAACTATAACCAACCTCCCAGATTCTCACAGCTGGCGGTTGCAAGATGGGTCAGAGAGAGCTTAGAAGTCTTGTGCCATCTCTTATCTTCTATGTATGAAAAGCTTCACAGTTAAAAAGTGTAAGTGAGTCTTTCCCTTCATTTTATATACAAATCACCAAGGTCTGGTAATTAAGTACTCTAAGAACTACAGTTGATATGATCTGGGTGTGGAGATCATGGTGCACACCTCCTATATTTTATTTTATATTTTACCTGCCAGATTAACCAGATTCTTATGGGTGTGTGCGGTGGGGGAGGGAGGAGGCAGGAGACGGATGGAAAAGCAGGAAGTATTCCTACTATATTTTGCTGGTTGCTATTTTGAG